AGCCTGTGGGGTCCCCGAGATCCAGCCGAGGAATTCCTGATATCGAACTGCGTGTAGCCCTCCACAGTTCCAGGTGGCGATGGTGAACTGCGACTGGGGACAGGGCTTAGGGTTTGTACTGGAGTTAGGTGGATGCGTGATGGTCCTATTGAGGGCAGATGTCCTAGTGCGTACAGTTGTAGACCGGGCTGACAGACTAGAGGCTGTGTGCAATCGCCCCCTGTACCAAGTGCTGCCATCTCGGATCGCTCTGGCTTGAGCACGGCGGAAGGAGCGCTTCCGAGCCGGAGAAAAAGCGTGCACGGACTTTGCTGACCTACCTCCAGCAGGTTCTGGTGCTGCTGTGTGGGGTGTTATAGGGGAATGGGCCTTAGGGTCAATGGGGGCAGATGAGGTACCTCGAATTAGGGTCAGGATCAGGGCTATAAGGAGGCGGTGACCTACTCCTGGGGTGCTGTGGCAGGTGCGATTGTGTCTACGTTCCCTATGCTGTCTATGAGGGAGGATGTCTAAGGAGGGTTCAGGGTCTACTCGGGATTCAAGAGTTGTCTGAGGTGGCTTATGGAGGCAGGTGCCGGGACTGTTGTCGCCGGGTCTTGGGCGTAGGCAGAGCAGCCTGACAGTGAGACCCGGCCGGCTGCTCACTGAGACACGGCGCCGATACTGACCTGGACAGGCCCGTATGGTGTGCCAGCTGTAGCTGACCTGTGGCTTAAGGCCTGCAATGAGAAAGTGTATGAGCATCAGTGTCAGGATTCCTAAGTAGGGGTTGACCTGGGACCTAAGGTGCATAATATCTGGCCTGTGCCAGCATTGGGGATCGCATTTGCCCTGGAAGGACATAGCTCCTGGGCCCGGCGGAGAAGCAGGGCTGCAATCGTAGTGCATGTTGACGTGTGTTGCTGCGAAAGGCGCTGTGGCTTGGCTAAGTGCCTGCAGCTGGACATTAACAGGGCCGTGTGGCTTCGCCATCGTATTGAGGCTGTAGAAGCGTGGCATGTGGGCTTCATGGGGTCCCCGACCTAGGTATCCCCAAACCCTCGTGTCTACAACCGGGACTAGCTTCCATTGCAATTCAAGGTTCTGAAGTGGAAAGCCCACTATGGTAGTCGGTAGACATGTCTCTGCGAGCTGTCCTCGGTTGCCGCCGGACTTGGGACCGGCGCGGCCCATGCTCCATGAAAGTCTCCTCCATCCAGGGCCGTTAACGACCTCTCTGTGGTCTGGGGTCCCCAGAGCCTCTGGCAGGTTCGGGCGAGTCATCGTCTGGTTCAGCCCTTTCATCAGCCAGCTCCATTGGACGTGGTGCAGAAAGGTCGCTGGCATCTGTTGGCATCCTGTGGTACCACTGTTGAAAGGAGTACCTGTCGTCATCCGACAGTAGGCGCCAGGTGAGCCAGATGCATTCCACATACCATCCAGAGGAAGCATATATGACCGCTTGCTGTACGAATCTGGTTGGGTCCGGCGTGTGGAGCTGCTTGGCCAGGCCTTTGGCAAGCAGTAGCTGCATCCTTTGTTGGACTTGCTGTCGCGTAGGGTCGCCAATGTTTCCCACTTTGTCCGAAAACGTCCAGGCGTAGTCATTGTCCGGTACCGGTGTACCCAGCATGTCAAGGATCCTATCGACATCCCTCTGTAGGCCTTGAGCTGCTTCTCCATGAAAGTGCGGTCTGGTAACGGCAAGGACCTCAAGGGGTGCCATTTCCTGCGACTTTCGGCGGAGGGAGGACAATAGCCCAGCGATCTGTCGAGTGGTTTTCCCTTCGCGCGTATATTCAACTTCCATACGTTGTTCACACAGCAAAAGGACCAGTCGTCTGGTGAACCACTCCAGCAGTCTTGCCATTCGCTGTGCCTCCTTAGCCCTAGCGGCCGCAGCCTTGGCTCTGGCACGTTCTCTTTGTTGGCTGCAGCTGTCGTCTGAGCGAGCGGAGTGCTCGGTCGAGGGGTCGGAATCAGACTCAGATTCAGGAGGTCCAGGAGAAACAGAGCGAGGCATCGCGTGAGGCCCATGGAATGCCGGGGAGACAAAAAGGAGGCCTGAAAGAGTTGGGCCGAGACACTTACAGATACGTATGTATGTATATATACATATGGTGCCCCCCCCCACGTACCTACCCTTTTCCTGCTTTCCTGTTCAGGTGCGGAGCTCAGCAAGCCGATGCAAGTTCATGTCATCCGGGGATACGGGCTGCAGTAAGATAAGATGGTGCTCCTACACACAATCCCAATCGTGCTCCTGTACACCGTCCCAAAACCGCACGGTCGCGATTGAAAATACCAATAAAAGTGGCACACAAGGAGTCCGAAACATTGGAAAAACCAATAAAGTTGGCCGACAAGGAGCTTAAAGCATTGGAAAAACCAATAAAAACGCATACAAGGAGCTCAAAACATTGGAAAAACCAATAAAAACAATAAAAACCATGATTTTCAAACTATCGCCCGGGAGGTGGTGTCGCGCCTGGACATAGATTGAAAATCATGGTTTTTATGGTTTTTATTGGTTTTTCCAATGTTTTCGGCTTCTGAAACTCGGAAACATTGGAAAAACCAATAAAAGTGGCACACAAGGAGTCCGAAACATTGGAAAAACCAATAAAGTTGGCCGACAAGGAGCTTAAAGCATTGGAAAAACCAATAAAAACCATGATTTTCAAACTATCGCCCGGGAGGTGGTGTCGCGCCTGGACATGGATTGAGAATCATGGTTTTTATGGTTTTTTATTGGTTTTTCCAATGTTTTCGGCTTCTGAAACCCGGATACATTGGAAAAACCCATAAAAATGGCACGCAAGGAGTCCGAAACATTGGAAAAACCAATAAAGTTCGCCGACAAGGAGCTTAAAGCATTGGAAAAACCAATAAACATGGCACACAAGGAGTCCGAAACATTGGAAAAACCAATAAAGTTGGCCGACAAGGAGCTTAAAGCATTGGAAAAACCAATAAAAACCATGATTTTCAAACTATCGCCCGGGAGGTGGTGTCGCGCCTGGACATAGATTGAGAATCATGGTTTTTATGGTTTTTATTGGTTTTTCCAATGTTTTAGGCTTCTGAAAGTCGGAAACATTGGAAAAACCAATAAACTGGCATACATTCTAGTTGCGAGGATTGAAGATCAAGGCTTTAATCAGTCGTCAATATCCTGAGTGCTCAAGATGGAAGAGCTTGCATACTACAGATCATCATCCGAGTATAAACCTTTCCTATCCACTATTAGCTGTTTATCTTACAAGCTGTTTACATCTAAGAAAATGTAAGATTAATACAAGTTATAACAATCAATAAACGTATATCTTACGGTCTAGATGTTGGTATGGTCTGTAAAGTCCTAGTAACCAGGCTAAGTCTTATGCGTTGAAACACCTGGTATGCTAGGTAGGCACCTGTAGTCCCAGGGCCCCATAGCCCCCAGATGTTTATAGACTGTAATGGTATGAAATGGAATGAGTAGCAACAAACGTACTCAGTAGGATGATAACAGTTAGCACATAGTTGATATCCATAAATATCCTGTAATCATAAGAGGAGTGGTTTGTATTATTAGTACTTCATTAATCTCATTCGCAACTTATGGTATCAGTCTTACTAGCTACAGTTTCAGTACATCAGGTTTATCATCAACATTAACATCTTTATAACTTCTGTACTACTTGTCACATTGTGAAATTATTAGGTTTGCGTTTAGTTACTTTATCAGGAGCTTCGCTAATGCTATTAACAGATATACACGATAATGCAATATTCTATGAACCATACTTTGGAGGTGATCCTATATTCTACCAACATTTGTTTGGTTTTTTGGACCAGTTGGTATTCAATAGTCTAACAATAATTGGCATATTACACGTCTTGGTTAACTTATTTATGATCTTAGTTATGAGTTGTATTGTCTATTAGGAAAGTTCAGCTTGGCCACATCATATATTTACAAATAGTATGGAATAGTGATACAAGAGCTAACTTTACAAAATTGTAAATTGATAATGTCATTACCAGCTGGTTCGATAAGACCTTTTGATTGGTGTTCTACATATCTGAATACTTAATGCATATTTAATGATACTAGTTCACAACTAATGCTATCTGGTATACTAGATCTTTCATATAAACTGTATATAATAGGTGGTCCAACTGGTATTGTACTTGGCTAAATAGTAATGCTGACATAGATTTACATGACTCTTATTATGTTGTTGCAGGCTTTAAGTATGATTAATAACAGGATCAACATGACTTGCTAACACCAGGTTAACAGCTAGTGTTATGATTGGGTAGGTTAGCTATGTTTAGTAGTTATTGCAAGTTAAGTTATCTAGGTTATTCATGGTAGTTGTGGTCCAGTGAGATTATGCTACCGTCTACACCATTACATCTAAGTGGTTACTGATGTTATGCCTAGAAGAGTACAAGACTATGGAGAGTAGTTTATAATCGTTGGAATAACACTAGTTCAGTTGGTTAGAGGTTGCGTGTTAAATCGTTTTTTGTCACTGCTGATAGGTAAGGTGGGCCCTCTATGGGCTGATGTACCCGTACCTCCATACGGGGTGAACAACCAGCATATATAGATGGGATGGCAACTTCTTTTAGTAACACGAATTGATAATAATAGCTGCATGATGTTGCAAAGACTATGGTGATACAGTTAATAAATGAATGACGGCAATGATATTATTAGAATGGATCGTAGTGGGCCTACTTCAGTGGCCCATGTGTGACATTTGCACCATGTCAAAAGAAGGTTGCTTACACATCAATAGCTGTTGTATCTGGCTCACAGAGTCTTTGTAATACGTCGAAGTGTTCAACACTTGGAGACAAACACACCAAATAGGTAGGTACGTCGGGGGGGGGGGGTAGCATACATATATATAGTACTTATACATGTGTATATATATATATATACATATATATATACATATATATATATATACATAGATATATACACACACACACACGCGCTTGCAGAGGACTACTAAGCCTCTTACAGGACCACACGCTGCCCGGCGCAGACATGTGTTGCCATCACCAGCGGCTCCTGAACCTGAAAGCACACTCTTCTCCTTGGTGTTGAGGGACTATCAAACTCCGACCCTCTTTGCCTGGGCACCGCGTCGAAGCCTGATGCGGCATAGTCACCACTGCATTCAGCAGTTGGTTGATTCTTCTGTGTGTCTGACTCATCAGAGCCTCCTTCTTGCAGGACGGCCTAGCAAAAGCAGCACTTGCACATGGCTCGTTGAGTTTTCATCTCTCCGATGCCTGAGCTTCTTCGTCTGCACGTCCTGCATCTTGCTCACATTCGGAAGTCCTGACAGCCACAGCAGAGGCACCTCGCCGAGAACTTTGAGCTTTATATGAGTCTTATATAGTCTTATGAACTCAGACTCCACGTCCTTGCATCAACGGCAGAGGCACCGCCCGCCTCATCTGACGACGTATGAAACACACGGACATAGTGGCATTGACAAGCGCACGCTGACGGTCTCTGCTTCCGGTGTCGGTACCTGCGCCACGAGGCACACAGGACCAAGCTCAGCAGGCGATCACGTGTAAGCCCTGACGTGTGAGCCCGGCCGCCAAGGTCGGACGATGATGCTTCAGGATAGGATTGTGCCTTGATCAAGTGCACGGTAGGATGAATGGTGTCCCTATCATGGAGAGCACCCCAAGTCCAGAGCAACGAAGCGCTGTGCCTGCAAATTCTTGCGTTGTAGGACCAACGTTGCTCATCAGGAAGTTCTTCCTTGCTGCTACTACAGTGTTGCCTGTCCGGAGGCTGTCGCGGATACCTTGGCGACTCCTGACGGCCATGTGCATGTGCACAGGGTGCGTGCGCCCCAAAGTTTTGCTTCTCTTGTGCTCAATTCTTTTTCGGGATCCTGGAGTTTGTCGTCAAAGCGCACTCTGCGCGCACCTTCCGGAGCCTTCAGAAGGTCCTGGGCAATGCAAAGAAAGCCAAAGAGCAGGCTGAACAGCAAGCCAGTCTGAGAAGTGCACGCGTGGAGACGTACTGTTCCTGCCCCGAATGGTGCCAAGACTGTGCGGCAACGGTTTTTCTGGTGCCTCACAGAGCGAGGTGTTGCCCGAGATCCTGGCAAGGCTGTGCCCTAGGCTGCTCTCTCACTGAGTCCAAGCTCGGTGGCTCCTCCAGCGGCAACCTGCTTATGCAGACATTCTGCTTTTTAGGCTCGATGCTGTCGTGACGATTTGGAAGCTTTGGTTTTTCATCCAAGGGCATCACATCTTTGGCCACCGGCTCGGACGTGTCGCCATCTGTTCCAGACGAGAAGCTTTTTCAAATTCGCACCCAGACTCATCGTAGGGTAGAACAAGCATCAAACACTACACGTGCCGTAGCGCTGGCCTTTGCTTTGCCATGCTTCCTGCACTCTCCCATGAGTTTTCTGCTCCGAAAGACCATCATGCCGAGTCTCCGGCCCTCGCCTTTGAAGGGGCACAATGCCGCTGGGCCGGATCCTGCGCGCACTCCCTGCTCCAAGCACCTGACATGAGCCAATCTCATCCATCTCCGTCCTGCATGTCCGAGGTGGTCAACAAGAGCAGCTCCTGAACGCCTTAGACTCGACTGAGTCGCGTCCAGCTGCACGAGTGGACAGCAAGGCTCAGATGCAGGCAATCCATCAACAAGTCGCGCTCCCGGGTCAGGCTAGCCAAGTGGTGCTGGGCCTTCTGCACTCGTGTTGACTCCAGGTTCTATGGGGTGGGCTCTTGTTGAGCTTTCGGCCTCGATGCAACTGGATGTCACTGCATGCCTTGCTTGCCGGCAGAGACGCCCAGGCTGCAGGCTAGCTTGCCACGCTTTGATTTAATGCCACTGGGATCAAACAGTTCTATTAGTGACCTTCTGCGAACGTGATGGAACCACAGTCACTCGTACTCCTTCACTCATCCTACGGGAAATGACCAGGTCGCCCCATCAACTGGAACTTGTGCAAAAGCAATCGCATCATTCATTCCGGGATCTGCACATTTTGTTTTCCAGCTTTTCCAACCTCCTGGATCGACGCCTTCAGAATCATCATCTTCCCACTTCTCGCGCACTCACTGCAGTCCTACCTGAAGTCACATCGGAGTTCAGCGAACTCTTCAAGCCAGCGCTCGCCTAAGCAAAGCTCTACCGAAACCGCGTGCGGAACGGAAAGCTCGGGACTCGGGACTCGCCTTGCTCGCTCTCGCCGCGCTCGCTGCGCTCGCCAGAATCGCCTCAGCAACACACCGTGTGACGAAGGTTGGGAGACTTCCTGGCGGCAGCACTGGGCGGATGGCGCAAGGCCTGGGCCTTAGACTCAGAGAGGAATCAAAGCGTCGCCACAGCCAGGTGGCCGAAAACTTTTCCAGCAGATCCCCCACGCCCAAACCCTTTGCGCCCCCCCTTCATACTGAGTTCGGCTGTCCCCTTGTCCTCCGCCCGGCTGGTGCGCTTGTTCAGGGCTCCAGGTTCCCACAAAACTGAACTGACCTTCTCCCATCAAAGCGCTGGCCCTTGTGTGACTGTCAGTGGATGACAGTCAGCGACTTGGCAGCTCTGCACGATGAACTGGTAGCCACCAAGCAGCCACGAAAACTGTGCCGTCTGCAGTTGTGCTTTAAGATCGTTGTTGTCTGTAGGGACTTATGTATGACCGTTTTTGCGTTGTGCATTTGTTGGCTTCCAGACGAACCTAGTAAGGCACTGCTACAAGCTACGCCGGGCCTTGTGGCGGGAAAGGCCTCCTGCCCAAATGTGCACGGGACTGTGGGCTGAACACAACTAGTCAAAATTCTCGGAAGGTGGACACACATGTGAAGCCAGCATCGTGAGCATCACAAGGCTTTGCTTTTGGCTATCTGAAGGCCTCTTTGGCTGTCTGAAGGCCTCTTGATGTCATCTGATGTTCACATTGGCCTTGGGACCGACCCCTAGCCAGAAGCTTCCGGGCTTCGTGCTCACCGGAGACGTGAATCCGCGCCGTCGAAACCTAAATCTGCCTTTTTCCACGCTCGTTTCAGACCATCATGAGCATTATTTGGACCATTGTCGGTCCTTCGTGGGGCAAGGCGTTGGGGTTGGAGCATAATATTTAAATTCTGAGGTCTAGGCGGGGCTCGGACACGTAAAACGTGCCTGCACAAGGGCGGAGTCGAGACCGGATGATGCTCATGATGCTGCGGCCCCGTCCACGAAGGCCCCCCTCCGTACCCAAGCAATGTTGAAATACCATCAATAGCAGCTGATAGCACTCATGAAGGACGATGCCGCACAACCGCACGCTGGGTGCTTCGTTGCTCTCAGTTCTGAGCTGTCTCACCAAGCCGTGCAGCCCAAGACAGCCTGTCCTCATCGAAGCTTAGCGCTGCGGCTATCCTTTCCATATGTCACCTCCGTGCCTCAAGCCATCGGAGGTCCAACTCGTCCTCAGTTTTGCAGGCATGCCTCAAGACGACAATATCCTTCCACGAAAACGGCACCTCCTCTGCAGATGATGCTTGAGCCGGTTGCTCCTCACAGTGTGCAGCAGCAGGCTTGTGACTTGAGTGCTTCCTCGTGAAAACCTCTGTGGTCACCTTCGGCAGACTGGGGACTTGTAGAGTCACAGCAGCCATGGCCGGCGAAGCGGGCGACAACACTCCCTCCAAACATGAACAGGAGGTGCCTATGTCAGGAAAACTCCGTTCCTTCCCAATGGTAACTATGAGCAGAACCCTGGAATTTCATCAGCCTACAAATCGGAGACAGGTTGGATGTTGGCATCACGAGCGCACAGGCTCTGAATCGTTGCGGCGGGGCTCCGCGAAGCCTTTCCAGCATGTTGGCAGTCATCCGAGAAGTGAAATCAAACATCATCGAGAGGCCAACACAGACTTTTTGAGAGCTGTCGCATCGGCAGTGCTGGCGCGAGCCAGCAGAATGAGAAAAGCGGCCGAAAATCCACTTCACCAGTGGTAGTAGGCCTGTCAATTCATTGGGAGTTCGCACAAAGACAGAAACGATATACGGGTTTGACATGCCGGACAGGCCCAGCCACCCAAGACCTTGTCGGGTCTAGCACTCAGTAAACTGTTTCGACATAGCTTTTCTATCGCAAGCCGGAGACATTAGCAAAGTCCGATTGCTTGGGCGCGAGCAGGGATCGCAATGATGGCATTGTCAAACGTCTTGCCTGCGTGGCGGACGGAAAACCAAGTAGTAAACAAAGAGCCGGCTAAGCTTCGTTGGACCGCACAATACCGAGGACATGGTAAGCAGCCAGATTTTTCGGAAAATGCGCAGGGTGGGGCAAGCTTCCTTGCACGGGTTGGCGGTCCCGCGCCAGGCTTCACATCCTCCCCCGAAAACTGGCAAGTCTCCCAAGGGACACGAATTCCGTGCGTGAATTTGCGGTCCGGATCCGAACCCTGCCTTAAATGCGACGATAGAATCGACGGACGACGACACCATGGGCTGTCATCCGTTCTGTACACATCTCATGACCTTGCATGAATCGCTGCAGGATCACGGGTGGCTGTCCCTCACAGTTGACCTGCTCGGACCTTAAGACTTTGCCATCCCACTGGGTCCTCTGCATGTAATGCAGCCCATCTGGATCAAAAACTTCATGCTCTGAGCCATCTGCTTTGATGATGCACTTATCCTCTCTCGGAGGACATGTGGCAGTGTAATTGACGATCTCTAACTCATCTCCATGCTGGACGATCGTCTGCATCTGCTTGCCCACTCCATAGTCCAGGCCTTTGGCAACTTTGCGCATTGCCCATGGGGTCCCGCGCTCGCGCAGAAAATCCTCCCAGGCCCCTTCGACCCGCGAGCAAATCCACGTTCCATTAAAATCGGTGGAAGCGCTTCTGACGGTTGTCAGACTGTGGGACGAATCGATACTCGACGACAAAAGTAAAGTTGGCGTGGGCTCGAGGATTTCGCAGGAGCCCTGTGCAGATGCAGTTCCATCAGAACCTCCTGCAGAAGTTTCGGCATCGTCGTTTACATCAGATTGCGAAAATTGTGAATGCACGCCATCTTCCAGCGCCACCTTTAGCTGTGCCTTTGGAGTTGCAATCACTTCAGCTTCAGCTGCCACATCCAGCACACATCCGCAGTTTCCCATGAATGAATGTAAAAGGTTGTGTAGAAAGAAACTCTGAGGTGACCTGCGAGATTGGCTTCTCGGTTCTCGTCCTTCTGTCCCGGTGCTGTACGATTCTGATATGCTATCTTGACATTCACGGCTCAAAGCCAAAGACCACCTTCGGAGACCCCAGTCTCTCAAGGTTCATCTCCTCCCAAAAGTCTGCAACACATCCAGGCCACACAATGACAATGTGTGCGTGATGCTCTGAGTGCCGAGCCACCAAATGCCTCGGCCAGCGCACACAGCACTGCGAGTATGGCCTCAGATGCTTGGACTTTTAAACCGAATTTCTGCATTTCACTCGCCCAGCTCAAGACCCGCGGGAGGAAGACTGGCGCATCCAGACTGCCAGAGCGGAACTGCAAGCTCTCTAGAAGGCAAAGGAGCACTCGCCTCAAGTAAGCCACGACCAGGACCGCAAGAGTCCTGGAACTGGCATGCCACTTTTACAACGCTAGGTAGCAACACAGCGGCAGAAGGGCTGAACAGGCTGATCCCCGAACGAGTGCAGTCGCTCCCCATGATGGTCTTGTTCTCGTACCACGCTCGATTAAAACCTTTTGCAGGCTTTCGGGATCTTGGGTTGTGCATCGTTGGAAACGGGCCTCGTTTGGAGCAGAACTTGCCGACGATCGCCCCAGCCTGCGTCACGGGGCGGGAGGGGCTGCGGTTGATCCCTTCGAGCCGAGGCTCAGGGCTCAGGGCAACACGGGATCTGCGAAAAAGAGAGGGGCCAAAGCTCGGACTGGCTCCTGCATGTGGAACCTCTGCGGAACCCTTCATGGCATTCATGCCACGACCACACTCGAGCTGAGGGAGCTGCCAAGTCGCTACGATTAGCAAGTACACGGAAATGCCTGTCACGTGCATGCTGCGTGACAATCGCACGGATGAACACGCCACACTCTCGAGAAGAATGATTCATGGCCTGCCGTTGCGCCAGCAGACATGACGACATACATACAAACGGGCATAGTGCAAATATTCAATCGATCCGAAAACAATACTCCAATTGCTACTGCTCTCTTTGGTCATCTCGGGCCTACGTCATAATCTGCACCAAAACGAAAAGCTGGAACCTGAGTGTTAGGAAAGGACAATGCAAGTCCACTGAGGGTCTTTACATTTTCGTGGTGACGTGCCGTGCAGCCCGGGAGAGCCGGGGCCAGGGCCCACTTGACCAGCCGCCAGGTCATGGTCAAGGAAGTGACCACGACAAGGTAGACGTAGGCTCTGCGAGATGCGAAGGGATGCAAGCAGACAAAGATGCAAGGAATGCAAGACCTTCTCTCTCGACTGGCCTTGCCAAGGGATCTCGTGAGTCCAAGAGAAGCATCAGCGCACCGCTGCCAGCATGGCAGGCCTGAGCCACAGCCATGGGACCTCTGCCTTACCCGCTCTGGCCCTCTTCCCCGGCCCGCAGCCTTGCGGGCCGCAAAGAGCGAAGGCAAGGCCTTCCGTCACCGTGAGTCCATTGGGGCCAGGGTCTCCATTCGCACAGCTAGAAGTTAAAATGCCCCCTGCCGTGTGCCTTCTCCCCAAACTGTAAGAAGACCAGCAAGGCTGTTTGCCTCAGAGCATGATCAGCCCAGGCATGTGCCGTGGCAGCATGTGGCAGCCCTCTTCCGAGGTCACAGCAAGGTAATTACTGTCGTCACATGCAGCTGCATGAGTGGAAGTGTGTCAAGGCCGATGTTGCAGCTTGAATCAAGGCTGTTGCACAGGTTCTCGTCTGAACCTTGACGCGGATCATTTCCGCTGCACCGTCTGAATATGTCTGAACTACCAGTACAGAATTTGCCACGCGAATACAAAACAAGTCGATGCTCTATCATCGTCATGAGAGAGCCACTTGGCTTCGGCATGCATCTTGGAGCAGTATGAATCCTTCAGCACTTCAATCCCCCGGTCGTTGCAAGTTTTTTTCTTCGCGGAAGCCGGAGCACGTGTGCAGGATCACTGCGCGCTATTCCATCGACTGCTGCTTGCCATCTGCATCCTGAGGCAAGGCTCACTTCATGCGGCTGCTCTGTGAGAGTCACGGGGCCTTGAGCCGAGGCCCGATGAGGAGCTCCATCTTCCCAAGCAACTCCTCTTCCACCTCCGGCCTCGAAGTCCCCCACCGGACCGCTGACCGGCCCTGAAAGTCCCTCCGAGCACTGGGAGCCAGACTGTGCGCCCCAAGCCTGCGGGCAGGGCGCTACGGTATCTGCTCTCAACCCCCTAAAAACGCCCCCTTGCTGCTCAGGCCGCCGCGAACTTTTGTAGGACGCTGGCCTGGCCGGCCTTCTCACGGCTCAGAACGCTGCTGAAACGCATTGTGAAGCGTGCACTAGCACGAGCCTTTTCTCCTGTAGTCCACCACCAGCCGACCCTGTGCGCTCCTGAGTATAAGAGACCCACAGAAACTGTAGGCAAGCTGAAGGAAGACACGCTGCTGCACAGCGCCTTGATTGGAACGTCCCTTCGTTGTCCAAAGATCCTCGTGCCGCTGGTGCACGTCAGCTTCACAGCCAAATCGCGGACTCGCCTTGAGCGTTAACTTCTGAAGCTGATCCGTGTACTGAACTTCCCATTCCTGCAAGAACTTGCAGGATAAGCTGACTGGGTGACTAGCTGAAGCACCATCTGGGCCCACAAAATCTGCAGTGAAGTTGTGAGTGGCCCGCTGGCCTCTCTGCGGAAGAAGAATTTGTAAGATTCCTCGCGAGCTACACATGATGCATGTGGCAACCTGTGGGGACACTCTGAGAACACTTAAACATAAAATGTGCCATCTGATAGAAAGTCTCTAGTGCACTTCAGTTCTCAAGCGAACTGGGCCTTCAGGATCTGACACTCCCCAACCAGCCAGTGCCTGAGAGACTCCCGCAAATCACCACAAGGGAATCAAAAATACTGGGTCGGCTCACCAGTCGTTTTGAGTCAGCTCGTGCTCCAGGTTAATGTCAGAGCCCTTGCAACAGTAGCGCTGTCTTAGGAAGCTTCCCAACGAGAGCTCGTCAGAGCTAATCCGCGTCTGCGCAAACCTGGGTCGCTCCGAAGATGCCCAGCAGGAAGTGCATCTGTCAAGACTTTGTGCCTAAGAAGAACCCATCGATCCTTGAAACCTCCAGCCTCGTTGTTCGAAACCTCGAAGGTGAGAGACTCCAGCATCTCAGGTACCTCCGGAGGATCGGTGCTCTTGGACCTGTTGCACCCGCCGTGATCTAGGACCTGCTCGGCCGGAATCTTGACTCTCTCCCTGGCGTGCTGGTTCCAGACCTGTCGGACACGTGCAGAGTGACTGTAGCTGTTATGGATATCCATTGAAGATCTGTCCTTGGTCGCTTTCCGCTCGAGTCTGCCGTCCTGCAGTGACAGCAGACCATTCTGTCTGAACGTTGACAGAAATGTTACACTACAATGCAAATGTGTTGCATCTTCGCCTGCGCTTTCTCCAGCGCCAAGAGGGCACGGTCTTTTCTGACTTCCTGCGCCCTCTCCTCAGCTTGTGAAGTTGCGTCGTGGGATTGCTCGGGAGTGTCTAGACACCTTTCAGATAGTTTGACTTGTGGCATCAATTACACACCAAGCTTGCATGGAAAAGACTTCTTTCCTGGAAACAAGTGGGAGCATCGACGTGCTCAGCAAGACTTTCAGCAGCACCTCCGATCATGAGCTGGCCCAGCGTGATGGGGTCTATGTCTTTGCAGACTCCCTGATCGACCGCTCACCCTGCATCAGTACACCCAACCTATCCATGCGTTGCAAGAGAAATTATTGATGTTAGTTGTGGGGGAGGACGAGTGGTGCAAGCTGTCGTAGCTCTCTTGCGTGTGTGCATCAAAGGCTCTTGCACTTTTCGGTTGTAGTCTTCGATCTCGCTATCGGTCATCTCTTGCAAGCTTTTGTCCGCAATGATCGGTGTGGCGAGTTTGCCTCGCCACTCCTGCACAGAAGAAGGGTGAAGTGTGATCGTGCACCGACGTTGAGTGCCGAGTAAGGGCGCCGCCTCGGGCTGAACCTGAAATCTGAAAAATCTGAATCAGCTGCTATTCGTCTCTCCCTCTCTTCTCCTCACAACTGGAGTTGCTCCAAGTTACATGTCGCTCACGGCAGAGCTCTTCGAAGGCAGATGGCGCCATCAGCCAATCGACCGACAGGTTTCAAAAGTGCAGTCTCGAGAGACTGTTCGTAAACTTCGTGCTGCGAGTATTACGCACGGTGCTTCTTGCAACTCTTCAGCCTTGGTACATGATGCAAGCATTGCGAAACTATCTGAGGACCAACTCCAGACGACTTAGCTTGCTTTCCCCATCTGTATGGACTTAGTCCTGCCTTTTGAAGCCGACAGAGAGCCCGGCTCTAAGCCAACATGGCAAGGGAGGTTCTTCCGGCATGACTCACGAAGCAGAAAACTGGCAACACTCGCGTTTCGGTAAGGATTCCGTCCCTGTCATCTCTGTCTTCATTTCCCCAGTCGACACTAGGGAGCAGACGCTTTTTTTTCAATCTGACGTTCTTGTCGACAAGCGCCAGGTGAAACACTTGGTGAAACGTCCTAGGGCCCATGCTTTGGCCTCGGGTGGCAGAGCCCATGATCCCAAAGCTCTCTACGAGATCAAGCTGATGGTGGCGGATGCGTCCAACCCTCAGGTGCCACAAACCCGTCAAGTCCATTCGCAGCCTTGGTTCGGTGGACGTGCCAGCAAACTCAACCTGCCCTCTACCGAAGTGAATGGGTGTTAAGCGGCATCTTCGCTGGCGAAGCGCTTCCGGAATGCGCTGGAAAGCCTCTCCTGTGCACTTTGCACAAATCACATCAACTCACCTTGAACCCCGTCACTTCCTCCTACTGCTCTCGCATCACTGCGCTGCTGCGCTGCCTGTTTCGTCTCCAAGTCCTGAACCATGGAGTTCAAGCTGTCGAAGCTGTCGTGCTGCTGGGCCTGTGTCGACACTGAAACCGCGCTCTTTACTTTCCCGGAGATTCTTCGAGACTGCGACGGAGTTGGTCTCCACATCCGCCAGACGCACCTGCAACTCCTGGCCCAATATCAGAACACAAAATCGTCAGTGCATCTGTAGGTTATCAAGCTGTCGCTGGCTAGGTGGCCATCTGTGCTCACCCTGCGCACGAGGGATGCCGAAGGCTTCCAGTGATTGCTCCAGGTTTGGGCTTCGAGTGCAACTCGTCACTCGGTGGCGCTGCAGGTGCATGCTCGCAGATCAAGAAAAGCGGCTCGAGTCGAGTCAAAAGGCTGACAAAGCCACCAAAGCCAATCAACTCCCTGCCCGAGGGCAAAGCAACAGAGGATGCTTCTCCAACCCCTAAGGCCTAGGCCTAGACTCCTAGGATGCTCATTGCCTCTCGCAGAGCTTCCACATCTGCATGAAGCTTCAGGCCGCCGGCGGTGATGAACTCCTGCACGACATCCATCCAGTTGAAGACGCAGACCGCAAACCCGATGCCATACATACCCTTCGCCTCATCTGAGACGCCAGCGCCCCTCTTGAACAGCTGGATCGCTTTCCGCGTTTCTTTCGGTACGCATGCCTTATCAGTGTCTTCTATGACCGTCGAAGGAATCAAACTTGGGCAAGGAGCCTCCATGCAACCGACCAGCACTTTCAGCTCCTGCACCTGGCATCCATTCCGCCGCTCTGCAGCTAGACAAGCTCAACACCTGCAAGATGCCACGAAGAGCACGACACACCTCGCGCCGCAGGTCCTGCTTGAAGACTTCCTGGAACAAACATCTAGCGCAACACGGATCTCAATTGTGACATGAGGCGAGCAAGAGCCGATTATCACTGCCGCATGCTGCCGTTCGAGTGCCTGATCCTCTTTGACGATGATCAGCTGTGGGGGAACCTTTCATATACTTTGGAATGCATGCTGCTCAGCGCATTCTCGACATATCCCGCCATTTCCGGCCTCATTGACGGCATCCACATCCAGCTTGCCCAAGATCTGCTCGAGGTTCTGGACTTTTTGGAAGATCTGCAGAAGCGACAAAGGCGATGTTCCGTTACGGCTGAGACCTCCTGAGGGCAGCCTCGGTGCTGCCTGTCGCTTGCTCGAGGAGCTGAAGACGGGCCTTGCAGTGATCCCAGCAGATTCGCTGCTCCACAAACGTTCCGCCGCCATGCGTTCCGCGCCATGTTCCAAAACACACAGTCACAGGCCCGGCCCCCAACCTCCAAAGTGTGTCCTTTCTCCTTCGTGAGAGCTCCGACACCTTGTTTTACTGTCCACTCTTCTTAAGCAAGCCGCCGTAAGCCACCTTTGGCTCGGGTCTCTCTCGGGACCCCACGCTGCTGCAGCCAGTCCAAGGCATTCACAGATTTCAGGGAAGTGGCCATGTCCTGAACGGACGACGGAGGGACTCAGCTACCTGTGCAACTTGTACATTCTCCAGTGAGGCTGCGGAAGTGAGTCTCCTCCTCCGGTGCATCGCCGGAGATGTACTTCGTTATTTGCGTGAGAGTCGAGCGCCTCTTCGTATCGCGCCTATGCTGAGTACGAAGCTCCCGACGATGAGCACCGCACAGCGTGGAGACCGCTGGAAGGACATGGGCTGCCACTTCCTCGCTCTGACAGAGGTGCTACCAGGGTGCTACGATACTATGCTACACTTTCAAGCACACGGGCCAAACCTCTCAGAGTCCCCGGCCTCTGCCAAGGAAGCGTGGCTGGACTGAAGCTCGGACATCGGCACCTCTACTGCAGCAGAAGCCGGCAAAAGCGACTGGGACTCCAGTCGCTGGAACTTTGTTAGTGTCGGTCGCCGGGTCGCCGGGCCTCCCAGTCACCTGCCTCAGAGACGCAGCAGCTCTGGACAGAACCCTCAGGCCTTAAGGTCTGCCCACGCAAATCCACAAACCTTCAGAGTGTTGCCTGTGTCAGCTTTCCAGTTCCATCCCGTTGGCGACGGCCTCGTTGCGCTGCATTCGTGGGATTCGCGAGTCGACTCGGCAAAGCACGGCCTGGGCCTTTGCCCTCAACGCGGGCGAGGCGTGTTTCCATCTGTGACATTCGCTCAAGTTAACCATCCAGCACAGAACGCGGACAACACACGCCTCCGAAATCCTTTGGACGGTCATGATGTGGGCCTTCGCAGCGCGGGGACGAGCGCAGAAGATCTGGTTTTCCGCCCACCTGGTCCACGTCGGTGAACCGCTGCCACACGGCATCGCCTTGTCCAGTTATAAGCAAAGCCGGCACCCTAACTCACACTGAGGCCGCAGCCATCCACGCCGGGCCCGGAACCTCGAACTATCTCAGATCCCATGAGCTCGCTGTGACAACATGACTGACGACTGAGGTGGGCGCTTGAAGCTTCTGTTCGGGGCGGCCTTTGAGAGAGGAGGCTCTGCTCCAGTTGCTCCAAGCGGGACCTGAGCAACGAGAGCCCCGGGCCGGGGCCCGGCCCCAATCTCCCGACCGAGGAAGGCACTGCAGCGCCAGATGCTCTGCCCCTGGGCCGGTTCCGCCGGAGGTCCTCTGCGAAGCGCACACACACACACACACACACCTTACAAATCTACCTCGAAGCCTATTTTCCTCGGACCTCTTCCCTAACATCTGTAATCATATACACGTTCTCGTGCAGTGCGCATTAATATAACTCAGCATGTACATCAACGTGCATAGATCCAAACAGTAAATAAATAAAACCCATTGCAAAACGTCAAAACATCAAACAGATACTTTCCGTGCATTGAATACTTAACATCGAAGATTTGACGAAAACTTATAGGAATCTTCAATGTTCAAAGTTAAAAGCCAAGAGAATGTCAAATCGACATTGCTTATGTCTTCACATTTTCGGTGGTCTGTTTATAAGACCATAGAACTACATTTGATACTGAAAATATTAAGCGACAAACTAACACCTAGTGCATCTGCCGAACCGTATCAGCACCGCTAGCCGCTAGCTTGTCCCGACAGGAGCGGTTGCAGGCGCGATTTTCGTTGATGCTTAGATACTGAACTCAGCATGAAGGCTCTGGTTTCGACATGAGGCTCAAGGTTGATGGTTGAAGATGTTTCAAGGCGAAGCTTCGATCCGAGCGGGCTGTGTCGAGCATGCCCTGTTTCTTGTTGGCTCCGTGCGATGCACAAACAACAGACCAGGCTTTGACCAAAGGGTCAAGCAGGCCCAGCATACGTAGCCTTCGATCCTCTGAATCCGATTCTTAGACAGTGATCTGGCTTGTGATAATGAAGCCAACCTCATCACACACAAGCATGCCACCTCTCGGGGCTGAATGTCGTTTCTTCGGGCCTTCAGCAAGATAAGGCATCAAAGTGTCCAGTGTCGATAGCTGCCAATCTTAAGCTTGAAGCATCTCGCGTGGAAGGCCAGCATGTGGCACATGCAACTCCTCTCAAAGCAATTCAACATACTTCAATTTCAGGACCCTCCACTCACACAGCCACGCATTCTGCAGGCGCTGCAGGGTCGGGTCCCGAGGAGCTTGCAACAGAGCCTCTGGCCGAGCACCAAGTTCTCGCATCCAAAACCTGTGGTCTGACCTTGCGTCTTGCCTTCACAGCATCCTTCTGCACTCCGGACTCCGACAAGATGACATCGAGGTGGGCCTCGACCTCACTAGGGTCACGACAGATCAACGTGCACGGCGTTGGCACCCGGCCTTGCAGCGCAGAGCCTCGAACTGTTCCTGGCAGTGTCCCGAAGACTCCTACTCATCTTCGGCACTTGCTCGTTTCATGATCGCCTGAAGCTGCCGGCGGTCTACCGACAAGGTGCCTTCCAGCAACCTTGCCAGGGAGGAGATCTCCTGACAAAGTGAGACAACCGACGAAAAGAAGCCCGGCAACCCGTTGACCTGCTTGGAGTCTTGGGAGATCTCGTCGAGTCTCCGCGTCATCTTTCCTTCCAATGCCTGCAAGGTGCAAAGACACAGAAGACGCAGTGAACAAATGTGGCTGCTCCTCGAGATCAGCGTGCTGCAGCCTGCTCTCCACAGATGCAGAAAGGGCTTGGAAGCCTTGTCCAATTTTCATTCTCACGACGTACATGGCAATCAGGCCCCGTGCTGAGACACGAGCGCAGCTCAACCTGCGCCTGTTCCGCAGCACGTTTCTGCTCGTGCTGCCACAGCTGCATGCGGCCATCCTGCACATTCAGGGCCCCCGCATAGAATTCAAATTCTTGAGTGACTCCCTGAAGCCTTGCACGGTAGCACTTGTGGGACTCACCAGAACGTGCGTAGCTTCATCGCGCGCAGGATGGCATGTCTGTAGAGGATGACAAAGCCTTACGCGAACTCTCGATTAATACTGTCTTACATGCGCACAAAACAAAAGGCACAAAACCTGGAGGTTTGGGATACGGAGAGCCTCAAGTGCACTGAGAGCCTCCGCTTTTCACAAGGGTCCTCCGCATCTAGAGGCAGCGGAGGCAGCGGAGAGGCCTCAAGTGCACAAGGTCACACTCAACCTCTTGAAGCTTGTAGATCTGCAGTCCCATAGGTGCCTTCAGGCTTGGGGTGTTCATCTCCTCGTCATCACCATGCTCAGTTTAGACTCTAGACATGAACACTCGACCATGCTCCATCGCTGCCTGAAGGTGCTCCAGCCGGGAGTTCAGCCCTAGGCATTGCCTCTTCGGTTCCGTGCCCGTGCCGTGCCGAAGCTTTACCTTTTGAGTTCTTCTGAAGGGCCCACTGCTGCAGAGCTTGAACTGCTCCATAGAGCCAGGACCTTCCAAGGGCGTTTCGCTCTCTCATAGAAGCCCCGCAATCGCAGCACAGAGCTCCAAGGAGCCGGCACCGAAGCCTGTAGCCGATCGGACTGCCCAGGCGGTCCGGTATACAGCACGGCAGCACTTCAAGTAAAGTCAATGCAGAAGACCTCCAGCTGTACAAGGGGAACCCTCACATCCAGCAAAGCTGAAAGTGGCGGAATCGCGACCTGGCCAGAAGCTGAATGATCCGACAGCGTAGACCGTAGACCATGGTGCACCCAAGAAGGCTACACTATGCCGCTATGCTACGCTGCCTTGCCCACATTGATCTCCTGATTGAACTCCTCTTTCAACACAAGAGTCGATGGACCCATCGGCAGAAGCACCGAAGCTCGGGAATCCTCTGGGCTGGCCATGCGGCACCAGCGGCACCAGCGGCACCAGCTCCACAACGATGTAGCAACCACTGCCACTGCTGTCACTGCTGTCACTGTCACCCAGGGAATCGTCTTCGTCTTGGGGTCTTCGGGATGCTCAGGGCTTAGGGGCCTGGGGCCTGTGGAATCTTCGAGAGCTTCAGACACGGGCTAAAGCCCAGAACCGACAGTCCAGAAATCCATGCATGATCCAGATCCCGGCCAGGCCCCACCACGACAGCTCTGCTATGCGCTTTTTGTCACAGCATGTCGGCGCAGGCGATGTGGCGGCATCACTTCCTGGCACTTCCGGCCCCCGCCGCTACCTCCACCAGCTGCCACATCCTGCTCGCTATCCCAGCGTTGAACATGAAACGCAACAGCGTCATGCAGACTCGCGGAGAACTGCAGTCAGGCCACTGTGCGCACTCCGACTGCTCTCTCCCAACCAGCTGCTCAATCGCATCGAACCGTGCCTTCTAGCACCATGTCAATGTGCATTATACATGTGAAACATGCGCAGAGAGCCGACGAGCCGTACAGATTACATCTGAAATTTGTGAGCAGAGAGCCCCCAGGCGACTGGCCTCCAAGACATCAAGCCGAGCTTCCTCTGGCTCGAGCGAGCGAGGACTGCCCACGGTCCAGTTATCCAGCTGTGCTTGCAACTTCTCCAGTTCACCCACCAGCTTTCTGAGTGTGGAGCTAGGACAGCTAGGACTACTGGGGGGGGCAAGCAAACCGCAATGCTCTTCTGCTGTGGGCCGAGAATCTTATGCTGTCCATCCAGCCTTGCAGAGCTCGAGCGCAGCAACCACTTCAGCTCCCGCAGCTCGCGCTCTGTCGCCGCCATCCAGGAAGCCAGGTGCTCGCTGCTCCGCCTCGGGACCCAGTAGGGACTCGGCATGACTCCGTGAATCTCTCACAAGTGGAAGCCTGGTTGCAGACGTGCTGCACGTCCGGCACTGCTCGCTTCGGGGGAGCCGCCGTCTTGGGGTCCCTGAAAGGCCGTAAGCTGCCCGACTCATTGGCCATGGCGCTGGGCCCCTGACCGCAGAAGTTCTGAAACAAGCGTGCTGTCTTGTTCTACTCTGTTCTACTTGCAGGAAGGGCGGTATGTTGAAAACGCCAAAATCAATGGAATGTGCTAGAAAACCAAGACTCTGGCAGCTTTGCTGGACGTTGGCTGAGGACCCTGGCCCTGGGACTGGCAAGAGCATCCAAACTGACGGGATGCCCCTTGTACTCCAAGTTTACTCGGCTGAGTTCACAAGCCACCTGCAGAGCAGCTTCCACTTCCTTTGAGAGGAAGCGTGGCAGGGCTGGGTGAAGACTGAGGGTTGAAAGCGATGAACCTTCTTCCACTAAGGTAACGACCTCAATGGCACCTGCATCCCCGATTGCATTCCCATCGAGCAACAAGATCTTGAAGCTTGGCGGTGCCCCGTGCACCTGCATGCCTCGCACCAGATATCTCACGCCAGCATCGGTCACAGCGCTCTCGCCGAGGTCAAGCTCTTGCAACATGCTGCAGCTCAGTGCTGCCCCCAGTGCCGCGGCTCCGTCATCTCCGACGTGAGTCCGTCGCAGCAGCACCGAACAAAGACTGGAACTTACCTGGAGAACAGCCGCAATGGTTCTTACACCGCTGCAGCTTATCAGCTCACCTGTGAGGTCCAGCCGCACAAGGGGCCCGGGCAGCGACGAGGTTCGTGACATTGCACGCACCACCAGGCAGACACCCACCAAGTCTGCATCACGGACTGGCGGATCTGTTGCGTGCGACTCTCGTGCACCGAGGACCAACACCGGTGGCTGCGGTTTCCCATCGTGGTTGCTCTCGTATTCCCCAAAGCTGCGGAGCAACAAAGGATGTGGAGGCACTCCAACCTGATGACTCTGCCAGCGGTACGCTGCATCCATCTCTGCTGAGCCTGAGCGAGCTCCAATTGCGCCCCGAGCTCGCAAGGGCCATGAAAACTAAATTAACTGCAAGCTGTCGAAGTCTTCCCTAAGCCTCTAAGACGACATCCGAAAGCTGGCATGCTTCTTTGTACTGCTGGGCCACCAAGTGCCTGGTAGGGCATCTACTGTACAGTACATTGGTTGGCTGAAGGAAACACATGGCCATGCAGGTACGGCAGCTGCTCTTGCATTCTTGGTCTGACCATGTCTGAGCCTGGGTGCGAGAACATCCCATACAGGTTGGCAAATTGGATAGCCTGGCCCAGCCTGGCAAGCCTCTGCTTCTCAAGAGTCTTTGCTGTCTTCCATGACTCACCGTTTAGTGAGATGGCGGCTGGGCGTCTGCTTCATCAGCCGCCGGCAGCCCTAGAGACTACAACAAATTGCACGGCTGCAAGTCACAGCCGGCGGAAAACGGAGAAACCAATGGCCCCTCCGTGGCGCTAGAAACCAGAAGAGCTGGACTCTCAAATCTGGCAAGTCACAGGCACTTTGCACTATGGTTCACTATAAGCAGCAAAGAAAGTTCAATTCACAGCATGAAAGGGTGTACTGCATCTCGTGCCACATATCGGGCATCCACCGATCCTTCTGACAGAACTGCAGCAGAAGCAGGACTTGCGTCGCAAGCACCTTCCTGGCTCGCAATGGCTTCTGCCGCCAGAGACCTCCCAGACTCCCTGTGTGCGTGCAGTACCTCGTGGCACACGATGCGCTCTTCGGCTGAGGCTGGGGACTTTGGGGACACGGGTGGAATCACTTCCAAGTGCACTTGTCCCTGCGCAGCCTCGCGCATGGACTCAAAGCCATTCTTTGGGCTTCCCAGCTGCCACTGGCCGACGTTGCGTCCGAGCTGATCAGCAGCATCACGTGCAACGATGCGAGCAGTCCCTTCTGGCTTCTCACAGTCATGCACTGATGGAGCAGATGCTGGGTAGACCTCACTGTCATCTGCTTGCTGCCTGCTCGCAGAGGTCACTAGATCTCTTGCTATGGCAGCTGCACTGTAGCCACCCTCAGATGGAGCTGCTCCGATGACCTCTTCAACAGCAGCTGTCTGAGCTGGAGTGCCACTGTCAGAATCCGCAAGATGTGGAAGAAGCGCTTGCCTAGCAATCGAGTTCGCAACTATTGACTCTGTGTTCTCCGAGATCACAGCATGTGAGTGCGGAGTGGCAGACCGCCTCTCATCCGCCTGCTGCCTGCTTGCAGAGTTCACTAGATCTCTTGCCACGGCATGTGCTCTGTCGCCACCCTCCGATGGAGCTGCTCCCATGACCTCTTCAACACCAGCTGTCTGAGCTGGAGTGCCACTGTCAGAATCCGCAAGGTGTGGAAGAAGGGCTTGCCGAGCAATCGAGTTCGCAACCAGCGACTCTGTGTTCTCCGAGACCACAGCATGTGAGTGCGGAGTGGCAGACCGACTCTCATCCGCGTGTTGCCTGCTTGCAGAGTTCACTAGATCTCTTGCCACCGCATGTGCACTGTCCCCAATCTCGGATGGAGCTGCTCCGATGACCTCTTCAACACCAGCTGTCTCAACTGGAGTGCCCCTGTCAGAAGCCGCAAGGTGTGGAAGAAGGGCTTGCCGAGCAATCGAGTTCGCAACCAGTGACTCTGTGTTCTCCGAGACCACAGCATGTGAGTGCGGAGTGGCAGACGGATTCTCATCCGCCTGCTGCCTGCTTGCAGAGGTCACTAGATCTCTTGCCACGGCATGTGCTCTGTCGCCACCCTCCGATGGAGCTGCTCCCATGACCTCTTCAACACCAGCTGTCTGAGCTGGAGTGCCACTGTCAGAATCCGCAAGGTGTGGAAGAAGGGCTTGCCGAGCAATCGAGTTCGCAACCAGCGACTCTGTGTTCTCCGAGACCACAGCATGTGAGTGCGGAGTGGCAGAGCGACTTTCATCCGCGTGCTGCCTGCTTGCAGAGGTCACTAGATCTCTTGCCACGGCATGTGCTCTGTCGCCACCCTCCGATGGAGCTGCTCCCATGACTGTCTCAGCTGGAGTGCCACTGTCAGAATCCGCAAGATGTGGAAGAAGCGCTTGCCGAGCAATCGAGTTCGCAACTATTGACTCTGTGTTCTCCGAGATCACAGCATGTGAGTGCGGAGTGGCAGACCGATTCTCATCCGCGTGTTGCCTGCTTGCAGAGGTCACTAGATCTCTTGCCACGGCATGTGCTCTGTCGCCACCCTCGGATGGAGCTGCTCCCATGACTGTCTCAGCTGGAGTGCCACTGTCAGAATCCGCAAGATGTGGAAGAAGGGCTTGCCGAGCAATCGAGTTCGCAACTATTGACTCTGTGTTCTCCGAGATCACAGCATGTGAGTGCGGAGTGGCAGACCGACTCTCATCCGCGTGTTGCCTGCTTGCAGAGGTCACTAGATCTCTTGCCACGGCATGTGCTCTGTCGCCACCCTCGGATGGAGCTGCTCCCATGACTGTCTCAGCTGGAGTGCCACTGTCAGAATCCGCAAGGTGTGGAAGAAGGGCTTGCCGAGCAATCGAGTTCGCAACCAGCGACTCTGTGTTCTCCGAGACCACAGCATGTGAGTGCGGAGTGGCAGACCGACTCTCATCCGCGTGCTGCCTGCTTGCAGAGGTCACTAGATCTCTTGCCACGGCATGTGCTCTGTCACCACCCTCCGATGGAGCTGCTCCCATGACTGTCTCAGCTGGAGTGCCACTGTCAGAATCCGCAAGATGTGGAAGAAGCGCTTGCCGAGCAATCGAGTTCGCAACCAGCGACTCTGTGTTCTCCGAGACCACAGCATGTGAGTGCGGAGTGGCAGACCGACTCTCATCCGCGTGCTGCCTGCTTGCAGAGGTCACCAGATCTCTTGCCACGGCATCTGCTCCTGTAACCTCTTCAACACCAGCTGTGTGACTGCTTTGTGCTGGATTGCCGGCGGCAGACTCAGCTAGGTGTGGCAGGACAGCTTGCCGCACAATCGAGTTCGCAACCAGTGACTCTGTGTTCAGGTTGCTGTCATGGTGCGATTCGTCGCCACCGTGCAAGCTTGCCGGTTCAGGTGTCAGGGTGATGCCACGAGCCATCGTGGAAGCAACCGTGTCCTGAATGAGGGCTGCCATCTCCAAGTCCCCAGCGGCCCCAGGACTCGAGTCAGCACTCTGTGGTTCATGTTCTCGATAGCCTCTGAGTTCATGCATAAGCGGAGCAATTGCCTGCCTGGCAACCGATCGAGCTGCAATTGACTCAGTGTTCGCATCAGACAGTTCATGCTGCCAAGAAGATAATCTTGGCGGTCTCTGATGCGGTTCACCAGCGATCGTGACCGCATCTCGCGCAATTCGAGCGTCACCCTCGTCTTCTGAGGCGATCTGTGAGCCGGCACTGCATGCACGGTCGAGTGCCATCGAGGACACCAGAGCCAGGGCAGGGGAAACAGCCGAAAGAGAAGCTTCCACGGTTTCGCTCTGGCGAGTTGATGGCCTGGCCACGATCTGGTAGGCCAGCTCCTGTGCAATCTCGGAGTGCAGTCCATCATCTGGGCTCCTTGCCAGTTCCCGAACGGAGCCGGCGGAGTGTTTCCCACTGTCAGGTGAAGGCGTCGTCAGCTGTGTTACGAACACCTGTGCAACGACGTGGCTCACATCTGCCGAGTGCAGATCGCCAAAGTTGAGATCAAGATCGACATCAGTCCACGTTGCTGCGTCATTGCCTTCTGATTCTGCCTGTGCCACCATGATATCTGCTAGCAGAGACCTTGCAACTGCAGCTTGCATGTCAGAGCGGCAGGAGTCATCACCGACGCTACTAGCTTTCGATGATATCTGCTTCTGCATAGGCGTTGAAGCGCTAACTGCTTCCGAAGGAAGCAGAGCAGCTATCGATTCCCACCATTGGCCTTGCAAAAAACATCAGCGGAATGCAACCGAACTCTCTTGCACAGTACAGCGGTAATCCGGCATCTTCACCCCGTCGCCCCTTCAGCAAACATGCCAGTGGCTCCCTTGGGCAAGCGCTTCCTCTGGAGCAAGCCTCACAATTGCGAGATGACATTCTACGACAAAAGTTCGGCAACCTCGTTCCAGGGCCAGCACGCTCGCTGGCGGTGGTGAGTCTCATCTTGTCCAATCGTGGAAGTCTGGGAGCCTGCGCTATCTGCGCAGCAACGAATCGAGGCATGTTCGGGTCCATGCAGCCAAGTCAAGTTGTTGTGAATGCACAGCCTGCATTGTAACAGCCCTGTGCCTTGCGAAGCTGTCGCTTCCACATCAAGGGAACCTGTCACTCGTGGAGACTGCTACTTGAAGCAATGCAGGTTGCCATACCTACGCCGTCTTCACAGGACTCAACTACTGCATGATGTGTCAGATGCTTTGGAGAGGCCATGTGACTGCTAGCGACACGCAGGCTTGCACCTCGGGACAGAACTCGTCCGGTGGAGGAGCCGGTCGGCGGTGGCGAGGCCGCATGTCGGCAGCACGAGGCCGCATGATCAGACTTCGAGCTCTACCTTCTAAAACAAGACTTCGTCCATACTTTCACAGAGGCAGTGGCTCAATGGCTCTGGCTCGATCCTTGAGTTGCTGCTCCAAGACAAGGAGCCGTTTGCATTCCATGGGCTATCCTTTTTGCGCCCAGACACCGGGCTTCGGTAAACAAGACGTCGCTGCAAAAGCGCTGCAGGACAGGGACACGGCACACCTTGCGCGACCGGCCAGAACGGTTTTCCCATGTGCAGACACGCCTGTACAGGAGTTGCAGCTGCACATGGCATCAGCCCAAAGAGCCGCTATCCGCCTGCAGACGCAAGCGATCTGAACCAGGTCCAAAATGTCGGCTTCATCCGCTTCTGTTCTGGAAAGAAAGACTATGAACTTCAACAGCCCGACTTTCGCTCATGAGATAAAGCAATCGAAACGATTACCTGCCTGAAGCGTCGTAGTACACAGACATGTCCACAGCTGTCGGCGACGGCGACCCAGCACCTAGCGAGTGGAGGCCTGTCCTTTCGTGTGCACACTGCCTTGCCCTCGACACCAAGTGCTACACCGCGTGCGGGTGGCGGCCGATGGACAGGGAAACCTCAAACTCAAGCCCAAAGATGACTCTGATGAATCGCTCGGCGCACTTTGAGCACAGCTGGCCTTCCATAAGATACGTGGCTGCCATGGATACGTCATTGTAAGCGTAATCCAGAGCACGCCGCACCTCCACACCGACGATAGACAGTTCTGTTGTTGACACGATTAGATTTCGTCTTTCTGCTGCCCAAGCGGAACTCCTGATATGTCAAATTTAAGCCGACCTCCCAGCACAGAAGCGCTCTGCAGGGCCTCGGCCTCCTCGAAGCCCATTGCTTTCAATGCCTCGACCTGAGCTCCAACGTGGGGGAGGCGCTTTGAATGGCTCCATGCTCAAGACTGGCTCAACAACACCTTCTGGCAGCGCCCCAGATTCTCAGAAAAGCTCTGCAGCTTTAGCAGGGGCTGGCATATTTCGCATAAGTCGTCGCAGGAATACAGGCAGGGTTATGGTGGAACTCCCTCAAATCTTCATCTTAATCTTCATTTCCATCTCGAAAAAACTGTGTACAGCCGCCGACGTTGTCGAATGCAGCGGGGTTTGGAGCCGGTATCTTCAAGAAAACGTCGTCTGCTGCATCTCTGACCTGCAACGTCTGGCTGTTCTCTGGGGCTCGGCTCTGGGGCCCAGGGAACACCCGCGGCCTCTCGGAAAAGATCCCCTCCGTACGGCTGCACACCAGGATCCTGCAGAAAAAAATTGCACTCGTTTGAAGGTGTGCAGCTCGAAAGAATGCCTTCCCAGACGCCATACTCTAAGGATATTTTCAAGTGTGCGTGAGAGTTCGGCCAGTGCGAAACCGCATTGGCCGATCATGACAGAGCTGGCTTCGATGATGGGCCAAATACGGCTGTAGCTCACAACTTGTAAGGCGTGCCAGGACAGCTGGGACAAGGAATGAGAATGCGTGAGAAGAGAAGCAATATTGTGTTGAAGGCTGATGAAGCCTGACTTCGTGGAGCATTGCGATCGCCTTCGATCTCGGCAGGGATACTAGCCGACCAACCAGCTCAGCATGTCGGCAGTATGCCACACTTATCTGGTTGCTGCACCTCCGCACTAAGACACCTACACTACTGTAAAGCTCATGTGCTCGCTTTTGCCTTGACAGGACTTTGGCCCAATTATTGTATCGATCATCCAACAAGCAACATGACAAAAGACAATTGCCACAAGCTCCGGAACAGCTAGCTTGGTCATGACATGCGCACTTCGGTAGTCGTGTACATCCCCAGCCTTGAAGTTGTTGCAGAGCTGTGCCAGATGGGCTCGAGATAAGGATCGCAAGTAGTGCTTTCCCCAGGACCTGCTCCATCACGCCAAACGAGGGCGCTTGGCCACAAAGCGTGCTGAGACCACTGCTCATACCAGTCCTGGCCAAAGGACGCGAGTGGACTGGTTCTGCGCTCTGCTCCACTGCGGCCCTACAGGCCGACCTGTCGCGACACGGCTTCAGCGACCTGCCCGCTGACCTCATTTGTGCTTATCTAAAGACCCATAGAGTGGAAACTCCGCGCAGCCGAGCTGAAGGCATCATCGACGATGCCTGCTAGACGATCGTCTTCAACTTGCAGGGGGCTTTTGCTCAATCCAAGCTTCTTCCAAGTTCAAGCATGGCAACGCAGAACGAACGGCACCAGATTGCCATCAACATGGCCGTGCCGATTTCATGAGGAGTGAACTTTGCCTGAGGCCCTTGTCGGTGAAATGAATGGGATTCACTGACATATCGACGATTTCCTTCCTGAAGCACCCTGACTGGACTCGGACAGCTGCACTGCACATGCAATGGTGCTTAGAAGGGGCGATGTGAACCTATTTTCAATGCTGCTGTATTGCTTCGGGTTGCAGTGGTTCAGGATAAGCTGACAACAATGTACAGTTGGATGGCTCAAGCGGCACAGCTGTCACCAGGAGACTGCACACGAATCTTAACTGAAGCAACTGCATGCGACGGGCTGTGCGTGAAAGTGCGGAAATTCACCGCCATGGGTTACCCGGAGCCCGTGTGGGAAAGCAGAGTCAGCGAAGCCAGCAAAGCCCGAAAGATGCGGAAGTTGCCTTCAGCTTGCACGTGCCGGAGTTCTTCGAGAAATGCCGAGGCCTTCCGCAGACTCAAACAGCCTTCCTCGCGACAGTGCCCGTAGCTGAGGGGTCGACTCCCGAAGCCTCCGCGGCACCCGAGCAGCACCGGAAAAAGAAAGCCAAGACCAAGGCTTCAGTTCAATTCTTGCTGGACCTCTGCATGCTCGCTTTGCAGCAGTCCAGAAAGGACCTCCACCAGCTGTAGCCGGCAGCACCTCGAGAAAACCAGGAAGGAAGCTGAGCCAGAAAGCCGCCTAAGCCATCCGAGCCGCTGGATTCTGCATTCTGCAGAAACAGGCGGCATCTCCGAAGCCCACACCTCTGCCTCTTCAGACAGAGAAAGAGAGCAGGCCACGTGAAATAACCGACCGCGGCCTCTGCGTGGCCAACTTCATCCGGACCGTCGTAGCTCAACTCGACTCGCAGCCTCAGCGCACCGGCGAAGCGGCAGCTCGCTGAGGAGTGGATTTCCGGCGTCAACAACCGTCACGTGCGGCTCGGGCCGCAACAATTTGCCCACCGAAGGTCCGGCAAGACGAACGACGACGTCCTGTGAATGCTGCGAAAGAAGACATTGCGCGGAGTTGAAGCATCAACAGTCGCGGCGGCAGCATTTTTTGGCTTTGCAGCGCTCCCTGCACTGAGGTCGATGGCAAATCATGTGCTTGATTCTACAGTATCCAATGCGAGGAAAGAGACTCGCCTGGCTTCGATCCCCGCACTTGACTTTATCTTGTCATGTGAGTATGCTGCCGCAAATGCTAGGCAACTCCTCCGTGGAGCTGCAACGTCTCCCCGGGACGTAACCTCAGCGTAACACCTTGCAACAATACGTAAGTTGCTCCTGGTCATGACCACTTGGCAGCACCTGGACTGCCAGCGGCAACGACTTCCAAACCCAAGCATCCTCGGCAATGCATGTATTAGACGTTATGAAGATTCCCGGCCGAGCTGCATCAGCGGATTTGGCAAAATGTGCACAAGATCTTCGATGCTATTCAAGAAACTCGACTCCTCTGCGATCACCAAGCAAGGCTCAGCAGCTCAGCCAGCTCCCAGTCCATCACGGAGCCGTGTGCCACGAGACCAGATGCACCCGAGTCGAGGGACGTAAGATCGAGTTTGGCGGAAGCTCTCCCTACTACTGCTGGCGGATCCCGAGCTGCAAAGTGCTGCTGATCTCTTCTTGGCCATCCGTTTGCTTTAGCTGGACGCTCTCGGAGATGAGTGCTTCATGCCAGCGTGAAACAATACACGTGGTTGTCTCGACAGCCGATACCTACATGGATTGCAGGTGCCTCCTGTTGGCGGGCATGCCCTGCACGAGTGCACCAAGCAACAGGGGATGAAAACACCTCTCCCTCCAACTGAGTACGTGCGATATGCGTGCCATGGGCCGCATCCAGAACACAGAGGGCTCCGCAGCGGGTCGCGATAAACAGAAGTGAATCTTCGATCTCGAGCTGCTCTGCAGACTCTGCAGGTCCGCTGGAGCCCTCACAGTTCACCAAGAAAGGTGAGCCATAGACCACGTCTCCCACTTCACATCGCCACATGACGCTGCCATCAGTCAGGCGAATTGCCGACACGCTGCCGCCATGCGTGCCGATGAAGGCCAAACGATGGTCTTTGCGAAGGCACGGGGCAGCGAAGGCCTGGCCATCCAAAGCGCGGCTCCAGGCCCGCCGCGGGCCCCGCCGCGACGCCCGCCGCAGGGATCCCTGCGGCCCTTGCTCTGCAAGCATCTGCAGCCTTCCCTCCACCTCTACCACCAGCAGGGATGCCAACGCATCAACGAAGACAGCCGCGAAGATTGGTGAGGCCATCCGGAGAGACCAAAGCTGTTCGGGCGTGCTTGTGAGGTCCTGAGAAGCTGCACCGATCTTCTCCATGATGTGTGACAACAGCAGAACTCAGACAAGCCTCGCTGGTCGACGCGTTGCAGCAAAATTTGAAGACCGCCTGGCCCCTCGTCAAGCAAACATACCTCAAGGTCTGCAAAGGAGAGGGAAGTGAACATCACCTGTCTCTCCCTTTGCTGTCCCAGTGACATTTCATCACTGCGTGGTACGAGAAGGGGAGCTGCAAAGATGGCACCCGGCAACTGCAAGCGCCAAAGCAAATGCCCATTAAGTGCTGAAAGGCCGGCAGCTGCACCGCCATGCGTGCCAGCGACAACGATGCCCATGTCGTCGTGAACGACTGGAGCACTCTTGATCTCTGTGTTTTCATCTGTAGGCAATGCTATGGACGATGACCATAGCAGGTGACCGGATTCGATCGCAATGCAATGCATATTCCCGTCGTAGCCTTACAAAGGGCAAAAATTAAACAATCTTATCTTGGGACCCGTGCCCTTTCTTTCCTTCAATGTTTTTGTCAAGCAGCACACTACGTATGCTTGAAAGCGATCGGCTGTGCATGAACAGGCACAGCCACCCTCAATACGGTCTGAAAGAGTCATCCGCCAGTGTTCCACACCAGTTTCCTGGGTCTCAAAGCATATCTGCTCTTGCTCTGTGCTGCTTCGAACAGGCTTCTTCCAAGAATCAAAACCTGTCAATCAATTCTGAGATACAAAGGTTGTCGTGTTGCCTGTTCGTAAGTTTGCCTTTGGCATTGGGGGTCCCTATTTGAAAAGCGGGATGCAAAAAACAGCTAGCTACACTTGTGCTCACTGCTGCGCTTCGCTGTGCATAGGAGGTTTGTTCGTGAAGGCTTCTGCTTCCAACTTGTGCAACGGCAGAAATGCTTCGGCCTGCTAGGGCCCAGACTCAGACTCCAGAAAACAGCAGTTCCTCGACAATCCTCTCCCACGTACCAGTCCTATATTCCCCTCTGGTAAGTGGGATCCCCTCCACTTAAAGGCTAGCTGTGGGGCCGCAGGCAAGAACCAATGCATATATAGAATGTTTGGATACAGATGCATTGAAAGTAACAGCAAGATTTCTCTTAATGCCAACCGCACCAGCAGCAGCAACAACAACAACAACAGCAACTGCAAGTGTAGGGACTGCGACTGTGACTGCGACTGCAACTCTGCAACTGCGACAGCAACAGCAACAGCATCAGTTGCAACAGCAGCAGCAGCAGCAGCAGCAACAGCAGCGACAACAGCAACAGCAGCAGAAAGAACGACAGCAACCACAACCATCAGAAAACTGCAATTTTTTTTTGAAACTTTACCATGTAAAGCCCTGACGTGCTTCCCTTTCCGTTGTTCCTCGCCAGCGCCAGTGCGGTTTGGGATCCAGCACATACTCCTGTCTTGTGCGCAGGCAATATTTGAGACTCGGAGTTTTTCAGTTTCCCCAGCCTGTCGCGTTGCGAAGCATGGCCCGCGGTTTCAAACGGGACAGAGGAACTCCCTGCAAAATGACGGAAGCTAAACCTGTCCCAACGTCCCAGATGTCCCCAGAAGAGCCTGTAAGCGCTCATATGTGAACTGCACTTGCAGGAGAAGCCGCTGAGCAAAAGCTAAATCATTAAACAGCAACTCGCACTTCACTTCCGCTCCTTTTCTTCCGCTCCTTTTGCACATCTGCAAGCGAAGTGCACAGTGCGCGCAGCTCATATTGAGCTGCCTTCCAGCCTCACCCGACCTATCCCACCTCACGCGGGCGATCGCCGAGACCACGGCTGAAGAAATTATACCACTGATGTGGCGGCACTCCTGCCATCTGCAGCTGCCGGGCGAACTTGAAGACGGCCGGAAAGGAGTGCATGAGATCAAAGATCTGTTGTTTTACTGGCTGACTCAAAAGAGGCAAGAATAGCACTGCTGTCACCTCCTGGACATAAATCTCCATGATTTTGCTGTTTAGCCATCGACCCCTGCGCCTCGTGAGCTCGGAATCCTCAGTCACCTGCATCAACCAAGTTGCCCCGCCTGCTCGCAGGCTGGCAAGGTCTAGCTGCTTTCCGCGCGGACCAGGCAGCACCGACAAGCACTGAAGAAGAGCACGGTAACGGTTCCGAAGCGTCTGGCCTGCCATCGGCCAGAGACGGGCACCTGGCTTTAAGGAGCCGAAAGCAAAAACAACAAATTCCAGGAGATCTGGTTGATCCAGTCGAAGAGCTTGATGACGCGCTGCCCGGTTTCGTGTCTTTGGTTCCAAAATGGGTAGTAGAGCATAGGCAACTGTTTCATCAAGATCTTGTGGCAGCACCAAATCGCGCCTCTTTGCAGCGAGGACTTCGCCGATGCGGGCGAGGCCCCCCCAAGCAAGAGCCAGAACACCACCTACCGTTGGCCATCCCCAAAAGCAGCAAACTGTTAGCATAGCAAGAAGGATCTGCCAGGGCATTGCATGATGGTGAACATGTGGCTCGTGACGTAGCCAGTTGAAGGCAACATCCCAAGCTGGTTGTAACATCCTCCTGATCACTGGCAGTCTCGTTGCAAGCGCGTTCACAGTCTCAGCATAATGTCCGTAAGGCCTGCCTGCAGCAAACAGTTCACGACCATACCGCGACAAAACAGCGTTTATGCTATCAATATCGACGGGAGGCTGTGCGTCAAAGAGGGCCGTGCCAACTCCAGACGAACACAACCAGAGCTCAAACTCACTCCAAAGCTTGTCCCTCTGCGTTTGTGTCGCTGCTTCAACCTGCCGCTGGGCGCTCAGTTCCAGGCCGGAGCGGCGCGCCTGACGAACCTTGTCAGCTTGATTTCGCGGCAGCAGAAAAACAGGAACCTCGGGCGCGCCATGGCAAAAGGGGCTGCGGATACCAAACCCTAAGAACCACAAGCCCAGCACATGCCAACGGAAGCACAAAGGCAAAGGCCCCTCACCTGGGAAGCCGAGGGTACTGTCGAAGTCCAGGAGTGGACGGCAAAACAGCCGGAAAGACCAAGTGGCATAACGTGTCGAGGAGCGTTGGTCAGAAAAAGGCCGAAATCCGAACAGGAGGACAAGGCGAATCCAGTTTGCAGCCCAACGGCGGACACGAGGAAGAGCCAGGAGGGCTCGCGACAGCTCAGGAGGGCAGCCGGCAACACAAAGGCCTGGACCAGGGTCCTGCACATCTTCTTGTCGGGACGGCCCATCTGCAGGCATCAGGCGGGTAGGGCAGAAAGGCAGAGCGGCGTAAAGACCAAACCCGACTTCAGTAGCAGCTATCCTATCGAGGGCCTGAGACAAGGCTCGTGAGCTACTTCTGCCCTTTGCCAGGGCGCACCTGGCAACGTTGGAGTCAATCAGCGAAGCGAACCGGGCGTTCCCGCCTCTAGCCGCTAGCATCTTGACAAGACGACCAAAGGTGGAGGTTTCCAGAATGTTGATGTGGATAGGCCTGGGCCACAGGAAGGCTTGCTCAGTAGTCCAAGTGGCAGTCGAAGCCAGGTCGTTCACCCACACGTTTTCCAAGCCCTCCGTGTCGGGCGTCACGGCCCTAACAAGAGATAGCCTGGATCTGATCGCACGATCAAGGTCGGCTGAGAGGATCTCAGCAGAAAGTCCAGAGAGGGGGGTGATGTCCCGATGGCAGCCCGACTCAGAGCCAATCGAGCGAACGGAGTCGAGCGCAAGGTGGACCCCTAAAACCTCGCAAGGACGAGCGCAAGGAGCGCCAAAGTCATTCAGCAATGCTGTAAGACTGGTACATGCCGGACGATTTGCGGAGGGCCTTCCAAGAGGGAAGGGAAAGCATGATGCTAGACCGTGGCTGAACCATGGCAGCTGGGATCCCGGCCTTTTCGCAGAAAGCCACCAGCATGAGGCAACGGAGAGCAGCACACGTATCATGCCGCACCCTTTCAGGGCCATTTTTAAAACCAAAAGGGGCATTCCAGGACCTCAGAGGAGGCACGCAGCTGGAAGAGAAAGAAGCGACCAGAGGGACCGCGACAACGGAGTCAAGGCGGCCAGATTCAAGAAGGTAGAGGGCCCATAGGAAAGCTCGCAAGGAGCCCTCAGACCCCGCCGTCCCGGGCGACAGATCAAGGCAAGGACCAGAGCGTCAAGGCAGCAAGTCGAAGTCACGCCAAGCCCAAGGGAGGCAAACCTCAAGGTCAGGGGCCTACCTATTGACAGAGTATAGCCGACATCATGGCCGCTGCACAAAGGCTCAACGGCCCGTTCCTCCCAATCGGGGTCGATCCTCCGAAGCATAGCCTCCTCCTTTGCAAGGACCCGAGAAGGCCCACCCTTCCGATCCGAAGCACGCCAGAGCTCACGAACGGTGGCCTCCGAGCAGGGGGTGCTTACCACAGCACCTCCAGTCTCACAGGCATCAGTAGCGAAAACTTTCTCCAGCCAAGGGGCTCCGATATCAGACGCCATCATGGGGGCTAAGACTGCTGCAAGCACCAGCTCATCAGCGATGCTCCGAGGCAATGCAACATACTTAGGGGCGTAAGGATTACAATCAGCACCCGAAACAAGACTGAACGCTGACCTGAAGATCGTCATGAGAGGCCGCCGGTACATAATGATCGAAGTCCATCCCCCAAGCAATGACAGGTGAAGCGAGTCTGTAGTCTGGGGCAAAGAGGCCACAGCCAATGTGATGCTGGACATGCACAGGCGTTTGTCACGCGGGGCTCCCGCGAGGATTCTGCCTTATGACCTCGTGCGCTCAGACGAATCTAGCTCGCAGCCTGCCACCTTTGCCCGAGAGGCAGCACGAACATCTTTTCCTGGAGATCCCTCAAGACCTGCATCACGGTAGGCAGCAAGGGCACGATCATGCACTCCCGCGGCAGCAGTGCCGTCAGGAGGCACTGAAGCGGCTTGCACCGATACTGAAAACAGGTCGTCAATGACCAAGCCCGATATGCAGTCGGTAGACGGGAACGGGGCATCGGCACGAAGCTCACTAAGGCTGTCAAGACAACCCGACTGGGCTAAGAACTGCCTGTGGCTGGCCGTTGCCAGCTCGACGCCTAAGTGATCGCCCTGCAGTACACTCTTGAAGCACACATAGACCTCTGAAGGCAAGGCAGGCGATGGCGCACAGGTGGGGCCGCAAGCTCCACAGGCCTTACTCCCCACACCGAGGGAGACCCGCTCCCTTTCTAACAGCTCCTTGAAGGCTGAGGTGTTACAGAGGTACTCCGAAGGAACAGGAGGGAAACACATGTTCGATCGCGATCGGGCTGCCGTACACTTGAACTGGTGATAAAAATCTCTTCTATCAGTAACCGAAAGTGCAACCCACTCCTGCAACGGATCGGCATACAAGGATAGGAGAGACGGCCCCGTAGGGAGACCAGACGATGCGGCATGCACTGGGAACTCTGCGAAGTTCCGTCCTCTTCGATCGCCAATCTGGCGATCGGTGTCCCGATTTTTTGCACAGTTGAATATGCGCACATAATGATGGCTATCATGGCTAGCCAATCCAGAGCTCTCAAGGTGCAATAAACCCAGTTTATCCCACACATGGGCTAAGGAAGCAATCTCGCTGGCCTTTTCCCTGGAAACATCCGGTCTGGCTGAGCTCGGGCACACTCCGCCATGCAGAAGGCAGTCAGGGTTGAGGAAGGGGAACGCAAGGCTGTCAGGGAGATAGCCTATTGGGTCCCACCGTCCAGTACCTGACAACTTCAATCGTGAGGCATTCAGGGGGCCGTAAGGCGAGAAGGTAGGAGCGTCAGCAGGAGCACCAGGCGAGGGTGCGGCAGGAGTGGTAGCCACAGGTCTCAAAGGATCGGGTGATGCAACCTGCTGCGTCGATTGCGGCTCGCGAGCCACATCAAAGGCGGTGCCGGAGAAGGGCCGAGGGGCAATGGATACATCCCCACCCCGCGCTTCAGGAACACTCTCAGAAGAAAGCCCCGGAAACACAGAGCCGTAAGGATCAGCGGAAGGCCCCTCCAGGCACAGAGCGGTACACAACCTATCAAGGCTTGCATGTAATTCCCGTGACCGGCGACCCGCATCCTCGGCTTTAAAGGACACGTCACCGCACGCTTGAACGAACGACTCGACCTGCAAGAAGGCATTTAGCTGAGCAGGGTTCGGCCGTCTCCGCAGGAGATGGAGATGGGTGGGCACCCGGCCTCCGTGGAGGTAGTTGAGCGCAACAACAATAATGTGCACCACCCTCCTGCGGGCTATCTCAGACCTCTTGCGCCCGGAGGTACCCGGAACATGTTTAAAAATCCCAGGAAAGGGCACAGGCAGAGGGAACAAAGCGTGTGCTGAAGCAGGCTTGCTCCAGGAGATATGCAAAGAACTCTTGAGGGCAGCAGCAAAAGGCGCCCGCGTGCGAAGTATTCGAGGGACCAGGCTCATGGCCCAGGCCCGAAAAGACACAAAACTGGGATCAGGAGACTCGTCAGGCCGAGGCCCGGAAGTCGGAAGGGGCGGAGCACACTCACTGGCGGCACCAGTCTCCATCACCTCAAAGCTGAGAGAAGGGTGCTGGGGAACCGACGGAGCATCGGTGCAGCACGGAAGCACAACCGGCGTCAGGCCACCGGGTCCTTGGGCTTTCGAGGAAACCGTCTCTTCCCGCCCTTTGGCTGCTCTGCCTCGGGCTGTCGGGTTTTGGTCGGCACAGTGGTTGCCTCGGCTCTCCGGCTGGCCAGCCCGTCCACTTCCTTTACATATGTCATCGCTGTAGTTGCCCACCCCTGAGGGCAGAGCGGGCCGAACGCTCGGAGGCGCGGATTTTGAGAGGGAGGGCGATGCGCAAAGATCGCAGATGGCGGATCCTCGAGCAATGACCACAGGTAAGCTACATCCCAACGGCCGTTGTCGATCACGGATTGCTCGAGCGACACCATTGCCAAGGCTGCTAGGTCCCCCGCGGCATGAGCATCCTCGGCCAGCAGTGCATTCGACAAGTTTGCCAGAATCCACATAATGAGCCCTGCATCTCGATGGGATCCAAACCCGCCGGTACGCTCCACGTAACTGGTAAATAGGGAAGGCTTCTGCCGGCATACCTCGGACAGGGACGTCGGGACCTGCTCGGTGGGCGAGAGACGCCGACAAGCTTGTTGGGCCACTTGTAACAGAAACTGGCCGCTCCCTGTCGCCAACTCCTGCTGCAACCTTTCGCGCTTTGCTGCGCCTCGCATACCCAAGCCTAGCACGCCTGAACTCCCAAGGGCAGCAACATCTGAAAGGCCGTCGGCACTCACGAGGTGCGACACCAGCTGAGTTAGAGCCCGCGACTGCTCGAGAACCGCAGTCGCCATGGGGTCGTTGCTCCCAGTGGCACCTGGCTGAAGCAGCTCGGCTTCCTCCCTTTCCAGTGCCCCCGCTCCGAGTGGAGCGTCCTCTTGGTCCTCCTCCACACGCATGACCGGATCCTTTGCACGAGGTGGTGGCCCGACCCTCCCAGTGAGAGCCTGAAGCATATCGTGCGGCATCGGCGCCTTTGGCTGACCTAGAAGGAACCTTTCCTGGTGCCGGTGCGCCTGAGGAGGAGCATCGGCTAACCTCTCCTCCAGTGTCTGCTGGCGACTTGCAAGGGAAGCCACCTGGTCCGATAGCTGCGGAAGGAGGGCAGTAAGAAGCTCGATTTGATCCTGAAGCTGTGCTGTTGACGCCTTCTTGGCACCTCCCTCCTTCTTTGCCCTGACCTTTGCCTTTGCCTTTCCGGTTGCTGGGGGAGAGGGAACCTCCTCCTCGACTGCAGAGTAAAAGGCTAGGCGATCTCCAGCTTCGTCCTGGAGCCACCCACGCACTTCGGTAAGGAGGGGGGGGAGGTCTGGAAACACACCTCCTTCGGGAACGAAACCTTGCGACTCGACGCCATCCGTAACAGGATCGGCCCTCCTCAAGCAAGAACCTGCCTCCTCGTTGAAGTCCACCACCAGCACCGCAAGAGACTGGCCCGTGGGCACCAAAGAGCCATCGTCCTGCTCGGCAAGGCCCGGCACCGCCAATTCTTTGTGTGGCCCCACCACGCGGTCCGGCCCGCTGGCACCATCGACAGCCAGCTCGGTCTGAGAAAGGGCTCCCGCTGGCAAGGCTAGCAAGAAACCCCCTGGGCGTGAAAGCACCGGCACGCAGATGAAGCTTTGCTGAGGGGCCTGCGGAGGCCACGTGAAGACTAACACCCCTAAACCATAGGGATCTTCCAAAAATTCCTGAACCAACTCCATTATGCCCAGGCTGGGAAATCACGCCCGGCACCCAAAGCGTAGACTCGAGCCTCCCCTTCCGTAGGGAAACCGTGTCCCACGAATACGCTGCCCTCGATGCGACCTGTGGCCAATGCAAAGGCCCGGTAGGACCTGAAAGCAGTGGGACCAGAGCCGTCCCCGAAACGAAACACCACGTACACGCTTGACCTGATAGACAGAGAAGGAGTATAGGAGGCACAGCCCGAATGCGGCCTTCCAACACAAGGCTTGCAAAGTAACCCGCCTCCCAAGCCCTGGTGGCACGTGGGGTGCGGTCTGCAACACGGAGGCTGCGCACAAAGAAGAGGGCCTGAGCAGAGACCGGTGGAGGGCCTGGGATCGGCTGAGGTGTGGCACGGGAATGGCTTAGGGTCCTAGAGGGTAGGGCTCCGGCCGGAGACTTAGGGTACCCAGAGGAAGAGGACCTAGGGTTCCTAGGGGTAGAGGGAGCGGGCTCGCTCACTAGTTCCCAACCCTCGTCAGCCTCCTGACGCACAGAAAGCTGAGCAACGGCTCTTGTAAGAGCCCAAATTGCAGCACTGAGATCCTCAGTCCTGTCGGGCCTCGTGTCGCCCATACAAGTAGGGCCGCAGACGGAGAGCAGCAGGCCTAGGGACCTCAGGAGTCACAGGCGCAGCCGAAGGTGGTTTCAGAAAGATAACCTCGCGGAAGGTATAAAGAACAAGGGCAGCTCCAACAGAGCAGCCAGCAAGTCCAGCCAGCAGCAACACAACCACGGAGGAAGTGCAATGTGCTGGGCAACCCAACCCCCACCAATTAGAGGTAGAACCCTGAACCACCAGAGACAGCACCTGTGGCACCCAGCTCATGCTCTTGAGCCCGCGTCCGCACATCACTCGTTGCTATCTTACAGTCTTGCTACACAGACGCTCAAGCGTGGGTCCTGCAAATTCAAGCCCTGTAATACACATCAAGTCCACACGATCATGGGAAGAGACTCCAACCACATGGTGCCATCGTTTGCACGTAACATGCGTAAGATACCTTGCAATCCAAAAGCCAAAAGCACAAGAGTTTCTGGTGGTCACAGGACCGGCTTTCTGCAATTCTGAGCTCTTTGCAGCCCAGGCTCGGCTTCAAAGCAGCACAGCTGCTTCGAGTGAGATCCCACGAGCCTTATGCACAGAAAAAGTACTGCCAAGTCTATCAAAGCTGAAACATGCATTGAATGCTTTAGCAGTGTTGCAGCGTGAAATATCTCGACATGCTCAACTCAAGATTATCGATATTCCAGATTCTGCTTTGCCAGCAGGCAGGCAAATATGTAGCGATCAGGACTCATTACAGAAAAAGCCAGCAAAAAGGCTGCAAAATACCTGGGAGCAGCAGCCAAGCCTTTGGTTGAACACGATCCCGAGCAGTTGCCAGAACAACCAATGGAGGCGCATCCACGCACTGCTGCAAATCCTTGATTCGTCACAACCCGCAAGGCAGGCAGGGTCTGCTAGGCACAGCCCAGACACTTTGTCATTACGCCTAGATGCCGTGCATCGTTGCCGTGAGACTGCCAAGTACTGCACGATACATCAAAAGGAACAACCGATGAGACAAGCAGAGCTTCTCCTCGCCAAAGCATGCGGACCCCGTTCAAGGCCCGAGAGAATGCGGAGGCAGGCGCAAAGCAGGAGCCCCCACGCGTGTGGCAGATCCAGCCTCTTGCTGCACCAGCGAGACCCAAGCCACTCGGCGAGCTCCGCTCGCTCGGCTCGGGTTGACTGCTCTGGAGGATACTACCAGAGCCATCTGCATCTTCTTCATGGTCTGCAGCCACACGCCGTCGCTTACCTGTCCGATCCGGGCTTGACAGAAGCTGCAGCAAAGCAGAAAATGAGATGGAGGCGGCTGCCACCACATCATCAAAATCGGGGGCTTCTTCGAGGCAGACTTGTCGCAGTCGCGAAGCCAACTTCATCAAGCCCGCTGAATCGCCACCAGCGGTAAAAAAGGATTGACCATCTGGCGCGGGTGCAAGCGACACCGAATGCGGGTTCAAGCAGCTTTGCCAAATCTCTCTCAGGACCGTCTCCATTTGCGACACTTCCTCGCGGCTCTGGATACGTGGAAAGGTCTCTGAGCGACTCTGTATGATCAGCGCACGGCGATCGACCTTCCCACTTGCAAGCTTCGGCAAAGAGCCCACAGGAGTGATGACTGCAGGAACTGCCGCGGAAGGAAGCAACTTTGCCAATTCCTGGCGGACCGAAGACATCAGTTCATGTGACTGCCTTAGACCAGGAGCCAAGACGCCGAAGGCCACAAGCTCAGGCGGGCCCTGGTCCGCCTGGTCTAAGGAATCCGAGAGCCAGCACGCGGACTCCGTGAAAATGACGGAGTCCTCAGCGTGAGCCCAGTTTTTTTGAAGGCTCTCGGCGAGCTCCCTCGAGCAAAGAGCGGCTTCCACGGAGGACAGCTCCACGCGCTGCCCTCGGACCTTCACCATCTGACCCGAGCGCCCCAAAACGTACAAGGTTTGTTCTTTGTTTTTCGCATCCCGCCAGATGGCCAGATCCCCGCTGCGAAAGCAACGCTTGCCATCGACGGAAGGGAAAGCGTCGACTTCCCCAAGCTCGCCACAGTATCCGCCAGCCAAACACTCGCCTGTCACATACACTTCTCCGATTCTGACATCGTCCGACGAGTTCAAAATGTCGTGAGCTACGGTCTCTTGTCTCAGAAGCACGTTTACACCGTCAATTGCTCTGCCACACGGCACCAACAAAGCCGTGTGATCTGCTACATCATCGAACGGCAATTCTGCACATGTGGCATCACCAGCCATTTCTGTAGAACCGTAAATGTTCAGAAGCTTGCAACCTTCCGGAATTTGGACGCGTGCTTGCGCAACCAGGCTTCTCGTCAGCAGTTCCCCAGAGCAAGTCAGCATTCGCAATGACCTCCAGGGACTCTTCTCGAGATTCATGGCTTCGGCAAGAAGAATGCCCAACAGTGTGGGCGTCAGAACGATCCTCGTAACTGCAAACTCACGAAGCGATATCAATAAGCCAGCAGAGTGCGAAGTTGATAACGGACATACCAAGACAGGTCCCTTCGCCGCCAACAAAGATCCAAAGATTTCAGCCACATGATCGATGAACACCAGGGGAGTTCTAGCACATGCCACTTCTCCATCCTTCCAAGGAAACTTAGTCCACTGCCAGTGCAGTCGGTTGAGCGTCGCAGAGTGAAGACCCCGCACCCCCTTCGGGCGGCCTGTGGAACCGGATGTGAAAATGATGTGAATAGTGTCCTGGCTGTCCGGAGGTGCAGCATTTGCAGCTTGACCTGGTACGGCAGCTACAGCCGACCCCTGCTTCTCAATGAAAGCCTCCACATCGATCACGTGCTTGTCGGCATCACTTTCACGAAATGCCTCCCATGCAGACCTCGAGAAACCCACGAGACTGGAACCACACAGAATGCAGCAAACGGATGCCATTTTCAGCATTATTGCTATCCGCTGGATGGGTCTCCCAACCCCAGGACAATCGGTGCTGAGAGGAACATACGGACTGTGTATGCGCAGAGCTGTAAGCAAGGACACCACTGCTGCAAAGCAAGTCCTTTCAAAGCAAACGGCAAGGCTCCTTTCCGTGGGGCCACAAAGACTTCGTACAGATTCCAGAAATGGTGACAGTCTCTCGACCTGATGCAAAACTTCAGCATAGCTCTTGGCACGACCATTAGACGCTGGCAGTGCATGGTCTACCAACGCAGGATGGCACTGTTGCTCGTTGCAGCGTCTCTCGAAAAGCTTCCACATCCCGCCACCGGATCATGGAGTTCTGCTGATTGAGCCGAGAAGCTGCCGCAAGAGATGCAGGAGGCACAAGACACGGCTCCACCTTGAACGGAAACAGAAATCTCGTCAGAAACCGACACTTGACTCTCGTTCCAGTCCTTGGTCTGTCCGAGCTGGATGGATCCCAGGTGAATCCGACAAACACCATCCGCTTCATGCTGCACAGGGTAGCCAAAGCAGTGCTCCAAATGTACTGTGCTCTCCAAGTGTAAGACAAGTTCTGCATTGTGGCCAGCAGAGGTCACGGCATTGGCACTGCAGTTCACCAATGCAGTGCCAACGAAACCGGCGTCAGGAATGAAAACGTAAAGGCCTCCCCCGATGCAGGCAAGGTCATCTAGCAGATTGGAGTCCAACTCGTAACCGAATCCGAAGGTATGCAGGGCGCAAGGCAGCTTGCCTCCACCGGCTGTGCGTCTGTAGTCCTTGAGTGCAGCCAGGTGTCCACCAGCCGGGTCCACGTTGGGAACCCCGTCTGTCAGCAAAAGGACTGATGCCATGGAGCCCGAACGCTCGCCGTTCCGCAGCATTTCGAGCCCAGTGTGAAGGCCATCCCAAAGGTTGGTTTGGCCATCAGCCCGAAGCTTGCTAAGTCCTTCCTCAGCCTGAGATTTTCCAAACCCGTCCATTGTTGTCAATGGGAGCACGATTTGAGCTCGATCGGAATACGCCACGATGCCAATCCGGTCAGATTCCGTCAAGGTTTGGATCACCGCTCGGCAACTATGAACAACGACGTCCAGAATACTCAGCTCTGCACCTTCACGGTCTTTGACGGTCGCCGGCAGTTGCATGGAGCCCGAAGTATCGATTACGAGACAAACGTCTGCACTCAAGCGCTCTCTCAGGGGACCGGAGGCTGCTGACAGATGCACCACCGTGCCTTCACTCTGAAAGGCACATGCATTCAGTGACATCTGCAAAGACATGGCTGCCAAACCAACAAGTGAACTAGTGATGAAGCGGTCTGAAGTCGGAGCGCGGTGGTGCGCCAGCAACCTGAGAGTACCACCAAGTGTTCTTTCTACGTTGACTTTTGTTACATGGACTGCTTCGACGACAACCTTCGAACATTTGCAGAAAACGCTACATCAACTGAAGCACAAGCAACCTCCCTGCAGCTGATGGTGCGAGACTGCTGCCTTTTCGAGTCGAATCCGAATGACGCTTTTGCGAATCAGGCTTCTAAAAAGAGCTGCCTGCGTGCTTTGCCGGTTTAAGAGACGGCATGCATGCAGACTAATCGAAGGACTGTCTTGCAGCAGTATCAGAAATCTCAACAGAATCGGTTCAGCATGCTCCTGGCACCAGGTAGAACAGCCGCTGCTGCTGCTGCTGCTGGTAGAAAGCCTTAACATTCGCAGGCCTCAATGGCACTGAGTGAGACATTTGTACAGCGGCTTCAGCTTGGAGCTGATAAAAACCTGCGAGAGTCTCATCGTTACAAGACCACATCCCGATCCGTGATCTCAGGAGCAGACGATCTACATGACGGCCTGCAGTCTCTCAGAGGTCACTGCATCCAAAGCAGCACTTCGTCGCGGCCGAGGCCCGAGCGCACGTCTTTTCTTTCTCGGTGCTTTTTGGTGAAATCACCGGCATGTACGCGTGCATGACCTGTGGGGGAACTTGGGGGCACTCCGAAAGGAACCCTTGCAGGGGCGCTTGGGCCACTTCGAGGGCCTTGAAGTCCGGAGCCGCCTCCCGGTCAATCACCAGGATCCACTTGAAGTGGGCGTTGCTCTTCTCCAGATCGGGATCCTTGGCCTCCGAGGCGAACACAACACCTGGGCTACCTGTGGGGGGAATCCCCGTGCCGTGTGAGACGAGGACGATCCGAAGGGACAGGCGTCCCGACAGTACAGAACGGCTGTTGCATCATCCAGTTCCCGCTACAAGACAGGAGAAACGACTTAGGCTGATGAATCACGGGCGAGACGATGAGCCCCATTGCTCCGCTGCAGATGCTGCTAGGAGGCTGCATTGACTTGGTACAGCCGGTACAAGCCAGCAGTTGCCTCGGTCACCTTCTGCTGGACACTGCAGAGATACAGATTGATTTTGGACCTGCGAGCCGCAGCTCCGCTGCACGGTCTCTCTCGGGCTGCCTCTGAGGAGAAGGCGCTGCGAGCTTATCGGATGCTGCTTGAACTTTCTCCCTGGCAAACCGGTCCCACACATCCCTCTGTGCTGTCAGAATTGAGGCCTGAGGCTGAGGAGCTGACGCTACTTCATCGAGGTCCAACCTTCGCTGGAGCTCCGCTTCCAGAGAGACTCGCGGGTTTCCTATGTGCTGGCCAAGTGCTTCTGGCTCGGTTTCTGCATTGCTTTGATATCGCTCAACAGCTCCTGGCAGGTCCCAGCCAGCAGAAGGGCAGAGTCGCAGCTCAGCACGGGCCTTGAAAACCGGAACCGAATCTTTCGCGGCCAAGATGGACTCCACGGCCTTCTTCATGGAAGGCCTCTGCAGGAAAGCGATGGAGAGAGCAGAGCCCCAAAGCGTGGCTTCTGGGCGTCGCACCCGCTGGTCTCCAGCTCCGCCTCGTCGAGCCTTTCAAGGAACGCCGGAAACCGAGCTCCCTCCGCTGCCTCGGCCCTCAACCATGCCGGGCCCCGGGCTTCTCTGCTGCGACGCCGTCGGGGAACTTGAGAGTCTGCAGAAAGCCCAAAGCCATCCAAAGCCCAAAACCACGTCGCTGACTTGGCCCGGGCCTCTGCGTAGGTGTACATGGCCTGACGCTATGTGCATTTGAAGACCGTCCAATCGCTTTCACATCTGCGCCTTGCCATCCTCCACGGCCGTGTCTGATGACCGATCACCACCTCAGATGATGGCGACCAGCACACCAAAGACTTACGGAGAGGACACGGTGAAAATTTAGGGATCCAGACAGCAACCACTGTTGCCCATGTCAAGAAACCTGAGACCACAAAGGCTGCTCAGGGCCGCTTTAAACACAACTCCAGGCTCCCGACGAAGGGGTTGTGCCAAGGACAGCGGAAAACAGAGCCCAAGCCCCAACGCAACTCCAAGCCCGACGATGCAGCGATGCTAAGATGAGCCCTTCTTGCACGTGCTCGTCTGCTCTCCTTCAGCTCTCTCGCATGCAACAAAGCAGCCAATGAAAGCATCGTGTTTCGGCTCGTAAACAAAGACTTTGGAACCGAAGCAAATTCTTGATGGATCCATCGCCAAGTATTAACTCTGGCTGATGGCTATGTCTGCGCGACGAGGACCGGCTACTCGATGATCCAAGCAAGTATCAGCCAATTTTGTTCAGATGTCAGATCCACGCCGGGCAGCTATTAATTCAGTGGCACATGCCACAGACCTACAACTCGAAGCCTGCCTTCGGCGGCTAGGTCGCTGTAAGCCATACGAGGTTGGACTTGGGCTTGAACCCATAGGCCTGCGTGACTTGGGAGAGCTCCACGCGGCGCACACCGCCGAAGAAGGCTTCTGAGGCCACAGCTGTGCCCCAGTGGGTGTAGCAGCGGCAGCCTTCAGAGAGGGACTCTGAGGCTCTGAGGTGTTGCACGCTCTGCGGGCAGTGCAATGTCTCAGGGCCAGGCCCAAATCACCGGGATCCTGCCTGCACACAGGATCATCGAACTGAATCCATCGACAACCTGGCGGCAGCAGCTCTGGATTCACAATCCACGGATTCCGTCAAGACTAAGGATACTAAGAGTCCTGCGCTTTGCCATTCGTTCGAAGATCCATGCCTTACGCGGTAACCACCAGGGACCACCAGCATTCAGGCACTGAACAGGCAAAGACGGCACTGCACCGCAGCGCCTGACAGTCTGCCAGAGCATCACAGCCTTCGCAGCACTCCTGCCAATTGCCATACGGGAGCGCGTGGCGGCGTGGCAGTTTCCTACATAGGACTTGACAAGCCTCGAGTGTGTCGGTCAGGTCCATCTGCAGCTCCCCTGCGTAAACTCGACCACTAAGATTCAGCTTCAAGCGAGTCCCGTCTAAGCAGCGGGCCGGTATGCTGGTCAACGAGGTAGGTCCCTGCAAGGCGCCAAGGAACACCTCAGGGAGAAATGGACGACTTGTGCACAAGTTTTGCTGTTAGGCATGCCGCTACATTCGACGCCCAGTTCTACTGTATGAGGTTAGTCAAAAGTACACACTGATGGTACGATGGTGCCTATCAGTTCTACAGCTCTGCTGCTACATGACATGTCAAGAAGGTCGTATCTGAGGCAAGCCGATGACAACGACAACCAACTTGACTTCTATAGCTCGAGCACAGGAAAAGCCCGAGTTCGTGACAACTGGTCGTAGAGTTGCGTGCCACCCCGCAGGAAGATGGCTGCTGAACCGGTGCAGGTGCCTGAACTTCGACTTCCGCTGCCAGCACTTGACACTGTCAAAGGACACTGTGGCGATACTTTGGTGCCGAGCCTCACCCACTGCAGCACGAACGACCACGGCTGAAGCCACTGCAGAAACAAGAGCCGATACCAAGCCGACCTGGAAGCAGCGAGAACAGAAAGTGCAAAGCATCCAGGTCTCAAGGATAGGGAGAGGGCACGGATCAGCATCCTCCGTCCCGAAAGCTTCCGTCTCACGACCTGGTCTGTAAGTCTGACTTTCTGTGGGGCTGCTGAGAAATGGGCACATGGTGGGCGCACCGGGCAACATCTCGAAGGCAAGCAAGGGCAGGCCAGAGAATTTGCAGGATCTGGTGCCAGCTCCTGTGCTCGCTCCGTCTGCCAAAACACTGCCACGTCGCTCCAGGACTCCAACTCCAAGTGCCTTCTTGATGGGAGCGGCTACGAACGACCTCCAGCAACACCTGGACCTGAAAGCACCGGCTGAGTCTTCCATCCACAAGGAGAGGCTGAGAGGCTGCTTCAAAAGCTTAGACTCGCCTTCCGCTCTCGTCTGCCTTTCAACGATTGGACTCACACGTTCACAAAACCTGCTTCTGCACCGCCTGACCACC